GATGCGATTAGCCTTGTCAGTCAGAGCACAAGAGCCTCCCGTTCCCGAACCTCAGTATTTCATGAAGCAAAAACGTTGGAATTGGGCAGGGATGGATTCATACGGGCTCGGGATCTGGGAGTGAGACTGAGATAACATGGGATTCTCAGAGTTGCGCAGGCCTTGATGAAGCAGCAGAGTTCGGTCACCATGCCCAGTGGCCGGACATTCCGGTGTTGCATGAAGGAGCTGAAGAGCACATGTGCACATATGTCAGCCACATATTAGTTCTGCTGTCCATTTGCTTGTGCGTGAGCCTGCCGTTCTGGAAGTTCTACCTTGATGTGTTGCGACCCCCATATACATCTCGTAGTGATGCAGTGTCTGTGCGCGTGCGTGTGCAGTAAAGCAAGGACTCTAGGTTATATTATCGTTCAAGCAGGAAGCATTTCAGAGTGGTTTCAGAGTGGTTGGCTGGTGCAGCCTCCCCCCCCTTCCCAGCCCAACCCCACAGCCACCCCGAAATTAGAGCAAGCAACAGCGGGCGGCTAACATCTGACAATGGCTAGTTTCGGCTAGTTGACATGGGAGACACATGGCCTCTGTTGTCATCTTTTGAATTAGAATGGTGCGCACTTCTGTCAGGGTGCTTGGGGCTTTGGAAGGAAGCTGTTGGCAACTTGCGTTTGCAGGAGGATGGTCGGCATGCCTACCTGGTAGCGCAGCAGTACCTTGGAGCTGTTGTGGTCGGGACAGCTGGCAATGCTGCGACACGTTGTGCAACAGTTGCGAGTAAAAGTGCATTGCTGCCAAATCCTGACAACTGAACAACGGCCCAGAGCTTGCTTAAGGAAGAACAAGTTTGATGGCACCGTCTTGCAAAGGCTCCAGGACATCCATCAACAACCATCTGTGGGTTTAGGGTTCAGGGATGTCACGTTGGACGCTTACCTGTGAGAGCCCAGAAGGAGACGGCCGAATATGAGCATGAGAGATCTTAGAGATCAGGCAAGCTCAGTGGGAGTCATATGTTGCTCGTGCAGTGTCTTGTCAAGGGTTTGCAGTAGGGGCAGTACGGGGCAGGTGGCACATTACATCACATTGCCGTCGCAGCAATCGCGGCTGATAATGTGTATGTGTGTGTGTGTCTTTCAGTGGCCAACCTTAGAGTAGTGGATTCGTGACCCTGTCGGACATCATGTTCAGTCAAAAGCGGAATGGCCTCTCTAAATTACTCACCTGAGCTGCGGACTTTTGCTTCTTTCGGTGCTCTATGGAAAAGTTGAAATGAGGACGGTGCTTCGCACGCTATGGAAAAGTTGAAATGAGGACGGTGCTTCGCGTGCGCGCTGGCGCGCATGCGGGCGTGAGCACGCGGAAAGGTTTCGGGAAAGCTCCGCAGAAAGCGCGGAGTCGAGTGGGTTGCAGGGATTTTACCCAATGATAACTGCTCGAGTGTGCTCCCGCGATTTCGGGACTTTCGCCAATTGTGATGCCTCATAAGACATTGCTGTTACTACAAACCTCTTTGGTGGGAGGGTTCGCCGAAGCACACTGGCAAAGTTGAAGCTACCAAGACTTCTGCGGACGGTTCGTGCGGAAGGCCTCACCATAGATGCCTTGTCTCAAAAATTCTCCTACGGCATTGTGCATGGTTTCTCAATTAATAGCCCTAGGAGATCCGAGGAGCATCAGCACACGACAAAAACTGACAGCTGTCCCCAGTGAGGATCTGCTGCGCCTTCGGAAGCAGGCTGTATTATCATGTGCTCTTTATCATATAATTATGCACTTGCTTTTGTGAAGGGCTTGCACCAGGCAACGACACTCGCTACAGGTATAGATGCAATCCTTTTTTGGCCCTGCACTTCGAGACATCTCGGCGTCATTTCGCAGGATAATATCGGCGCCTTCTCCAACAAGAAGTGTGCGGGCCTCTTGGGTGTTGGGTATCACTCCTGGAACAAGTGGACGGGCAATCGATGCCTGGTGCTGTCCTCGCGCATCCCGCAGGACGCGCCTTGAAGCCGCGTTGAGATTCGGTTTGGAATGCCATGATGCAGAGCCTCAAGCTCACTTGAAACACTACTGATACTGCGACTGTACTCGTCCGCAAGATGCAAGAGACCTCAGTGAGGGTGTGCTCCATACGTGGAGCCGGCATACATATGCCAAACCTAGAAGGGCATCTTCACGCCAAGTTCATGCATTGTTTTGGGAAGGAAGCCATGCAAGTCCTGGGGTGGACTTTGCAGCCTACGATCACCGAAGAGAGCCCTTCGGCTTTAGAAAGGATGAGGGGATGTGCTGCCACCGGAAGTTCCCGAATGCCTGTCGGCGTTCCACAATTGTGGAAGATGAGGGGCTGTTCCTGGTATCATGGCTGGGTTGTGAAGTCCTGTAGCTTGCAGATCGGAGCCTAAGGCTTGCTTCCTGAAGAGACTTCAAATCCAGAGGAGACCGGAACGTTGCGGAAAGAGATAGAGAAGATGGCACTCAGAGCCAGTCTTGCTTGTCACTAGCTGAGCAATGAGAGGGGGAGTGAAGGATGTTGGAGCCTCGGGCAAGATCCAGGCGCCAATGACTCAATGAGAACCCGTATATTCCCCTGGGGATTTGTTTTTGTTTATATAAAACCCCAAGAGAGCATTAAAAATACTATTTTTATTGAGGTTCTAAGGGGAGTATAGACCCGAATTGCTATGTTCAGGAGGCAACCCCTACTGGCAACCGCCAGCTCAATAAGCAAGAGTCGAGCATCACCGACGAGATCGAGGAGAAGAGGGCCGTGACATGCCGTGACCATGACGTGAATGCTTTAAGTGAAAACATATCCGTCTTGGGCTCCAGGAGTCAGGCAAACAAGCCTGCAAAATGACAGTTTGCGGGCCCCACCAAACATGTCGTAGCGATTGTAGTGACAAAACACATTACGTGGCGCGCCGGGAACTGCTAGGAGGCCGAAGCTGTCAAAATCGATGAGGAGGTGGCTGAGGACACAGTCCAGAACGCGGAGCAGGAGCATGCAGACCAATTTAGCGGGCCAAGTTATTTTGGTATTGCGGAGTAGAAGCGAGAAATTCTGTAGCTCGTAGGAATAGCAGTCCGTCGGAGTTGTTGTTTTTGGGCTTTGGTCTTGAGTGTTGCATGTTTTCGAATACAGCAGAAAGAGCAGATGTTGAAGGCATCGCGCATGGTCTGGACTTGCAAAGAAGGACTGCCAAGTGACACTAGCAACCGTTGTCAGGCCTGAATGAGGAATCATGCCTTTGTCCGCTAGCGAGCCAGGAAGAGCAAGAGCCGGTGTCTTCGAGCAGCGCTCCGCTAGAGAGCCAGGAAGAGCAAGAGCCGGTGTCTTCGAGCAACGATCAAGACGGCGGTGAGGAACCTGTCCACGAATTACTGTGCGTTTGTAGACTCTGTCGCAAGCACTGTAAAGCGCCGCTGCCCTTGTGTGAAGGTCTTGCAGGATGCCCTACTACATAGTACATCCCATTCTTTCCATGTCTGTTTGAACCCCATCAAGTGCATTCACTGTCACTCTGGACAGGCTGCGTCGAGCTGGCAGCTTGCGGTCCGTGTGGTTGATGCCACATCAGGCGGGGTTGGTTCAAACAACATCTGACAAAGACACAGCTAATGCCGATGAACTTCCTGAGCTCTAACGTCGAGTAGTGGCACTATATAATGATAGAATAACATAATAATATACTTATATATTATTATAGTAATTCATAATATTGTAGTATTAAACTGTACTAATATAATTTTGTAATGCTGGAAGCTGGGCGCAGAGCCTCAGAATAGCCTGCTGTTGACACGCAAGGTCTGCGGAAGGCGCCCGCGTAAAATTTTGCTGAGGAAGAGCTAAGCCGCCTCCCAGGGTTCCCATGCATTCGACTTCCACGACGTAGGCCTTTCCGAAACAGGCAGTATAGTTGTGGTCGCAAAAACCGTTTTTTTCGTTTCACCCTGGCTCCCCCATCAGCTTCTCTGGCATCATGATCTGTTCGGTTGAAGATATCCTACTTGCGTACAGCGCGCAGCGTGAGGCGGTCTGTGCACAGCCTTCGTTTTCACTATCGGCTGAAGCTTCCAACTTCGTTGCTTTTCAACAACTGGTTCGGTCTCTCTGCAAGTCTCCAGAACCGCTGTCAAAGTGCCGCGAATAGCCCACCACGGTACAAAGTGATGTGGATCTGGCCTTCAGGCAATACACTGAAGTCTGTGCCGATCCAGATCCTCAACAAGAAGAAGACAGTGCTTGCTGAGGTCAGGATTTGGGGTCGATTTCGCTGTTCATGTCGGAAATGGTAAGGTGAGTTCCACATGTTCCACAGTTCAGTTTGGCACTGTGTCGACAGTGGAGCTACACGCGTCCCCCTTGAAAGTGTGATGGATGTATAATCATTGAGTCAATGAGCCTGGGACTGATATTGGAGACGCCAGGGGGAGACTTCGCAAGTGGGAATGGCCACAGTCAACGTGGCTCAGGAAGAGGACGTCGTGTTATTTGGCCGCAGCATGTTGCAGCAATCTCCGCCACTTCTCACGTCTTACGCTGATACCAGATGCCAAGGTTCCTAGCGATATCGAGACAAGGCTATATGGCCATGAAGCGTCGCTACATAAGGCCCTCATGTCTGCACCAAGACAGGTTGCCGCCTTGCTCTTTGCTGCATTGCTCAGTTTTTCGCCCTCAACCTCCTGTCGCAGGTCCCGTCAATGCGGCGGTGGAGACAAGTGTATCACGCAATGCGCACTCAGCCCCACATTCTGATCATTGAATGATCCATCTCGGGCTTCGTAGCGCAGATAAAGCCGTGCCAAGATCTGCCGAGCTAGAAGGCACTGCCAGAAAGACCTGCTCGAACCTGCACAAGCACATGAGCAGCTTCACCAAAAAGCGATGATGGAAGCAAGTTTGGCTTCGACATGCTGTGGGGCTTGTGTGCGCGAGTGAGTTCACAGCCCTGCCATCCGGCCATCCTACACTTGATTAGCTTGTGTGAGCGCTGCAGGAGCTTCCGGCTGCTGCTGCACTTGCTGTGGACAGAGGCGCGTGAGAACTGTTCGTGGATGGGCGCACTGTGGTTCGCATATGTTGTGGTTGCGGACATGTTCGAAGACCATGACATGCATGTGTGGCATAATGTTGCAAACCAGCGCAGATCAGGGAACGGGATCCGCCTGCAACTGGCCCTCTCTTTGCCGAAGGCGGCGCATGTGAAGAGTCGGTGCAAAGTAATTGTCGTGATTGGCGATTCAGAGTCCCTAACTGTCAGCATGCGCAGCAATGTGCAAGTACATAGTTGCTTTGTCCTGCTTATTTTGGCTTAGGCACCTTGCTGTGGTGCTTGTAAGATAGTGCTGCTAGCACCTTGCTTGTCGGCTTGTCCTAGGAGAATCGGCTTCAAAACCTAGTCTCGGGTCAGCTGTTATAGTAGCCTAGGACTTGATGGGCTTTCTCACCCTTCATGGCACGCGGCGTACCCAGACCCATTCTGCAGCTGCAGTATGGATACATAATATGAACCAAGAAATAGTCAGAGTCCCGGGCCCTAATCCAAACTCATGACATTTGTACCCAGCATGTCGTGCAGAAGCCTGCAGTCGTGATCACAGGCGCCGCCCACTCGCTCCTCGCGTCTCATCGCCAGCCGAATCGCCTCTCCCTTTCGACAAGGCACCCTTTACCTTTGCAGTAGCCGCAATGGTGGGCCAGTCCGTGCGATTAATGCCCGTCGACATACAAGTAGTGGTCCTGGGTAGTGGTAGTGGTAGTCGTAGCGGTGGTGGTGGTGGTGGTGGTGGTGGCGGCGGTCGTCGTCGTCGTCCTCGTCCTCGTCGTCCTCGTCCTCCTCGTCCTCCTCGTCCTCGTCCTGGTCCTCGTCCTCCTCGTCGTCGTAGAGTTCTCGAGCCGCCCACCGCCCACCATCAACCAGGAGTTCGCAGCTCTGACTTTGCAGATGCTGCGGTGGCCACCCTAGGCAGGAGAAGCTTGTGATCGTTTTTGGGGATCGGGGATGCACGAGAGGAGTTCATGGCTATATGGCCGGTCGCAGCATTGGCACGAGTGATATGCTAAAGTGGTGGCTTTTCGGCGTTGGTGCACACACGCACACATGCACCTTTCGTCCAACTGTTGGACACGTGCTTCAGTCGATTTCGTGCGGATCACCGCGCCGGCCCCCTTGCGATGGCTTGACAACTGCCGAGCGGCTTGAAGGCAGAAGATGGAAGAAGTTGTTGAAAATTTGGGATGACCACACACACCTTGCAAGTTTTGCGATTTGGTGGAGCATGAGTTCTAGAGATCTTCCAACGTTCGGACATTGGCAAGTGCTTTCCAAGGTGCAGAACACGTCCATGTTGTCCTCGGCGTTGTGGCGATGCCTTTGCTACGGAAACGAGGCCTATGCCCAGCCCTCAGGCAACAGCTCACCACCAAGCATGTGCATGCAGCCACTTGACTTGTGCACGGCCCGAAAGCTGCTTGCGTAGGGTAGCGTGTGTGTGCACAATGTCGCTTTCTTAAACCTGATATGGGCACCACGCAAGAAGCAGAACCAGTCATGTCAAATCAGCAGTCATGCAGAGCCGCGCCTCCTTGAAAAGATTGACTGGAAAAAGGGCAGTGCCCTTAGGCACATCCTGATACAGAGAGGCAGACTCTCCAGAGGACGCATCAGAAAGGCTCCACCAATTGAACATGCTCAGGGGCCACAGCTTTTTGGTTGCATGCAAGATCGCAGTACTCATGAGATGGACCCTCCCAGCTACATTGCTGTCGACGGGGACACGGATGAAGAGGTCGGGCGTTGCAGCCAAACACTACTGATGTGTGCGCCGGAGACCCGGCCCCAGAATGGACATATATGTATACACAATCACAGCAACAAATTGGAATTATAGCTACCGAACAGTATTAGCACAAATGTGTGCCTATACAGCATAATACTAGAAATACATGTATGTATCATTCAAGCCTCTGTCTGCGACGGCAAGCGAGACGAAACATGAAGGTTGCATTGCAACGTAGCTGTCCAAGCAACTCCTAGAATCCCTTGTGCGTGTAAGGGGCATAAGGGAATCGAGGTCTCAAGACTATTCCGAGCACGCATCCACTGACTCCTCTTCAGAATTTGCCACAACCAAGGAGGCAAGCCCCGGCCCTTGGGCTGCTGTAAACGTTGGCGTGCTTGCCTGGTCTCTCGCAATGCATCCCGTCGGTGGAACTTTTCACGCAGCTGTCCTAGTGCTGGGAAGGCGCTTGGGGGTGTTGAGCCATCGGAGGGTGTGCTGTCACTGTTATAGTGGAGACGTTCTATGAACAGGCCGAGCAAGTGCAGAGTACGAGGGTTTCAAAGAGGAAAGGTGCCGTGACAAACCCTTGACTCCTTTGTTGTTCCTATGGCTGGTTGTTGTTGTGTGGCATAGCTGCGCTGCAACCCAAGGCTGGCCGTAATCATGTTGGACAGCGGTCGGCGGGACGAGTTCCGATCCCAAATGTACTTATTCTGGAGCTTTGCCACGACATTCGTATGGGTGCTGGAAGTTGGCCTCAGTTGTTGGTATGTTGGAAAGCAGTCATCTTTCAGAGAAGCGGTAGAGCTTGCCATCGCAGCCTACCTGACATACGAGTCAGCTGTCACCATGTGGAAGCACTGGTGTCGGCCTGACAAGCAAGTTGAAGGAGAGGTGGCAGATGTGGGGCTCAACGCCGCAATATATTTTTATGCCTCAGAAGAGACCTGCTTCCTGACATGGCAACAGTGGCAACAGTGGCGCCGTGTGTTCCGCCGAAGTGGGCAGACGATGCAAGTGCAAGACGAGGCGTAAGCAGGATGTTCTGCACATGCTGATATGCTGCAGAAGCTTGTCACCAGATTCCTGCACCTACTGCAACCCCTGAATGACAACGAACGCGGCCTCCTTCTCAAAACAGCACGGCGCATCAATACTACCTGCGCTGGCATGAAAAAGGTTCGCTCGGGCGGAGATACCCGCCCTACAGATTTGGAATTTGTGGGCCGTCCTACTCTGGGTTGTGCATTCAGGGATTCTCTGATAAAGACTCTTGTTGGGCACTCCAGGGATTCTCTGGAAATCTTTGGGTTGAGCGCACCCCAGGGATTCTGCGGGAACACTCATACTCTTCGGTTGGGCTCACTCCAGGCAGAAAGGGTTTGGGGTTAGGGTTTACGGTTTACGGTTTCCGGTTTAGGGCGCACTCCAGCAATTCTCTGAACTGGGGTTAGGCATTCAAGGATTCTTCGGGGATACTCCGCGGTTGGGCGCTCCAAGATTCTCCGGGGATACACTGGGGTGGCGCACTCCAGGGATTCTCTGAGGATACTCTGCTGAGCAATCCAGGGATTCTCTCAAAATACTCCGAGGTTGAACGCTCCAGGGAGTCTCTGGGGATCTGCAGTTGGGGAGAAGAGCTTAGTTTAACATCTGACAACCCCACACCAAAGGTCGGGAATAAATAACATTTGTTTATATTATATATATATAGGTATATGTCTATATATACATATATGTACGTGTCTGTATATGTCTGCATATGTATTTTGAAGCGTCCTTGCCAATGTCAGAGCACCTCAACGAGGTCTACACGCTTGGCTACACTTCCACGCCGGCCTTGCCACTACGTGAAGTGATCGAAATCCAAGGATCTCTTTGCCAAGTGCAATCTCAGCCACTTTTGCTGTGTGATGCTCTGATGGGTATAGCTGACAAATGCCGTGCTGCCCATGCAGATTTTGACCGCGGTAAGGGAACAAATGAGCTGCCTCCGAAGCACTGGACAGGAGTCACGCTGCTGGATCCTGCAGAACCAGAAACCTCTGTGCGTCTGCCCTTCTCCTCCACGTGGATCGCTTCTTTGTTCGAAGATGGCGCCTTGGTAGACCAGCATCTTGCCAGCAGCAATTGCCTGGACTATGTACAAACTCCATGCTGGTTACTTTTGGTGTTGATCCACGCCTTGGTCGAGGGCAGAGAAGCTGCACTCAGGCTGCCATATAGCATAGATGATGTCCGTTGACAATGCGGTAGAACTGATAACAGATGCTAAACCACGTAAAAGCCTAAATTGCCGAGGCTGCTATTGGAAAGCCATGCAGACGAGGGAATCTTGCACCTCGCCACAGCCATGGGCCTAGCCTTCAGGTTTGTCACTGGTGAGGTGTTCACCGGGGACCACTCTGTCACACCATTGCCCCCAGAGAGCTTTGAGTCATGCCAAGGTTCAGCAGCATGAGGAGGAAAATCAGACGTCGCCTGGCGAGGGCCCCGAATGCGACTGTTGAAAGGTTGGGCTGCATGAAGCCAGGATTTTGCCACCGAGTCGCCTCATCAGGCCAGGCATGAAGTAGTTACGATTGAAAGGGGGGGACGATGTAGCCTGACACACAACTGTTTGGGTTTGTCGACCGGATATCTTAGGCAAGGACTGGTACAAGTTAAGTCAAGTCCTGTCAGCGCAACAGCTTTCGCGGGCCCTTGCCAAGGCAACACTACAGGCTCATCGGTCGGGGATAGCACGGACACACCCGAGGAGAAGTGTGATGGCACCGAAAGGGTTGGACCTAGTGTGGAATCACTAAACTCTCTGGCAGGGACTGGCATTGCAACATGCCTTTGCCCGCACCGCACCATCGGTTCTTGCAGGACACGGTCGACCTTGAACAGTGCACAGAGCAGGAGATGCGGCAAGGATGCATACAGTTCAGTCAGCCTGTCCATAGCACCTCGAACGGTCCAGGCGAATGAGGTAAGGCGGAGCTGCAGTTCTGGCGAGCCTGAGGTCGTACTATCCGTGCCCCGTGGGCATGGTTGCAAATGGCCACTCGCCCCAACATTCTGGCCGGGCAAAACGAGTTCATATGAGTTCATGGTAGCGTTTCGCAAAATGAAGAGCTGCTCACATTCGTAATCTCCTAAAGCTACATGAGCTTGATATTTGTCTTTGTGCTCTTCCAGCAATAACCAGTGTTGAGATGGAAACTTGCATTGAGTGCCTGCGATGAGATGAGGAAAAGACAGGTTTGCAGGAAGTGAGCCCGAAGTCCCAAAGCAGCACCCCTCACAGCATTCCCTCGAAAGTAATGCGTGACACTTGCAAGGTCTTCGTGTCGTCCGGCTGGGAGGTGCCGGCTCGTGGATGGACAGCCTGCAACTCCTGTGTAGCCAGGACTGACTTGACTGAAGCCCGCAGCTTTTCTGAGTTTTGGGGGCATTCTGTGCAGGAGCTTGACGTTGGCACGAACCACACGCAGTGGCTGACCCAAGCCGGCTCCACGGGCCTCGCCGGAAACAGGCAACTCCTATCCTTCACAGATTCTGGAGGCGATGCCGAGGCGCCAGCTGTTGCCCGTTTCAGAAGTTCCCGAGTTCCAGACCTGGGGTGCCGAGACAATCAGAGAAGGTTCAAGAGCACTGTTTACTCCAGCCAAGAAGTCAGCCATCACTGTGCTGGCTTTCAGACAGCACGCAGCCACCTGTGTTGAGCGAAGTTGGCGTGAGTTTTCGTTTTTGTCCTCAGACTGCCTTAAGGGTAAAGTGGAACACCACACAGCAGCCAGCAGTTTCAATACAACGGTCTAATTCAAAACTTTCCTACACGCTTCCTTCACCGGCGAATGTTTGCCGCGAAGTTCCATGACGGAGGTTTGCGGCGAAGTGTGGCACGACAAAACGCTGCGCACGTCCTGCAAGCTGTAAGGTAAGGTTGGCACTGCCTTTTTCCAAATTTGTGGCCGAAACCCCACAGCAAATTTCACCGTAAGTGAGCGCAGCCATCACGTGGAAATACATGCTGTTCACTGAACCCCTGCAAGTGCAGGGCACGCAGAGGCGGCTGCAATGCTGCAAAAAGTTTTCAAATGGGGTGTGATCAGGACGGTGCCCGCCGCTTCAGTTGTTTTCGAGTATTGTCGACAACCCTTCTGGCTCGGGTCCCAAAAAATACCGGGTACTTTGAGCAAGGCCTCGCTGTGTGCAGTGTTGCTCATACTTCAGCAGATAGCGGCAACTTATAGTTTCAGACCAAGCTCTTGAAGACACATGCGCAGACTTCAATTTTCGCACTGCAAGTCAGGGCAGCCCTGACCAGATCTGTCAACCCGAACTGCAACTGCACGCTTTGCATCATGTGAAGGTCGAAGTGCTTCGCTGTGACGCGCGAGCGTCCTCCTTGCTGGTCGGAGTGCGGCTGGTTCTTTGGCGCCAACGCAAGGCGGTGAACGTGTTAGAAGCGTCGGACCTCAAGCATTTCTGCACAAAGCAAAAAGCAATCAAGCAATGCCGCATGTCGCTGGTGGAGGTTGCAGGCTTTGCAGCAGCCTGTGCCGCTTGGGCGCAGGCAGGTCCATGAAGCGAACAGCTCAGCCTCCATCCTCTCACTGCGCACTGCACGAGGCATTGGCAGGAAATATTTTTCAAGTGTCTATAAAGACCTTGTGCAGGTGGAGCGGGTCATTCCTTGGGATGCAGAGACACACGAGGAGTTGCAACCTCAAGTGGCGTCGGCTGATCTGGACCGGCTGCCCAAAGTCTGGCTTGGTTGATGTGTTTGCCTATAGGAAAGCTTGGAAAGGCGATGCCCGCCAGCACTGTACCTTTGCATCAGGAGACGGGCGCCAATTGCACCGGCCTGGTGCCGATCGAGGGTTCTGAGAGATGGGCCAGCTGTCAAGGGCCACTCGGACTCACCCATAGAACGCCTTGGGCTATTTCTGCTTCGTCAGGTTGTTCAGCCGACAGCCCAGGATGGCCAACCTCAAGCCTTGCCCGGACCCTGAGATGTGCTGCTGCGACAAGGATTTCCAATACATCGAGGCCAAGTTGAAACACAGCATTATACGCATAGTGAAGCTTGTATGGACACAAGTGTTGCAAGAGGGTGACGCTACCTGTGCGTGCGAGCGAGCGTTCCTCGAAAGCTGGGTTTCAACGAGCTTTCGCATCATTGCAGGCGCTGGGCTCCTGCGAGCCCTGCACCGCCGAAGCGGCCTTGGAGAGACCTCGCAGCCCCTTGGGAATCATATCGGCTTCGGGGAAATAGAGACAGTCCTCACCCACCCATGTGTCGGCCAGTGTAGGCTGACCAGGGTCAGCAGGAACATTGACGGCATTCATGCCTGTAAGCCATTGTAAGCCTGCTTTACAAATGGCAAGGACTCTGTCCACCTGGAACAGCCGTGATTGGCTTTTATGCCGGCGTCGCCGCAAGTGAGGGCAGCGGACACCAGGTTGCCGGCTTTTGTTTCGGCACCGGCAGCTTCACGTTGTATCCACCATTGCCGGAAACTGCAGGCTGTGGGTTCGGATCTGCTGATCTCCACCATCTGCTCAATCCGACTGAGATGTGGACCTCTGCAGGCTGGAGTGAGATGTGCTGCTGTGCTGTTCTTCCCCTTTATTAAGTGCCCCCCTCATCAAAAAAGACACTTTCCGGAAAATCCTCCCGAAATCACCCCCACAATTTGTAACCTGTTCCGAATTAGGTTAAGGCTTCCAAAAACCCTCAAACTAACCAACATCCTGAGCTCTCTCTCTCTCTCTCTCTCTCTCTCTCTCTCTCGCTCCTTCCCTCTCTCAGTTCACACCCTAATTAAGTACTGTACTTCAACCCTCCAAACCCTGAAGTCTAGACCCTGAACCCTTTGGACACAAAAAATGACCTTTGGATAGAAACATTTCCCTGAAAATACAACACATTTCGAGTGTCTATTGCGGGGGGAGGGGCTTAATATCAAGGGGGAAGATAATTGTGCATTGAGACTGTTGCTTCTGCTAGCTTCGACAGGCAGTTCCGAATGGTGCTTTCCTTGTCTGGGCACGAGAGTAGACGTGTGTCAGTCCCCACTTCCCCTTGGGCATGTTGGTGAAGGTCCGGCAGTGGGCTGGACACCCGAGCACCACTGGTGCGATTCTTGGGAAGTGATGGGTCCAAGCAATGTGGCAGCGCTTGCAAGAGCAAAATCGTAACGAAGGGAATGGGCCAGACATGAGCTGGAGTGCGCCAGTGACATTTGCTCGCCTGCCAAATAAGCTTTGCAAGGTTCCTTGGTTGTAGCAGGATGGGATCCACCGGTTGAGCACCTTGGTCCGCAGTCGGAGGGCCTGAAGAGAATTTTATAGATTTTATTTATGGAAGGACTTTTATAGAATCTCATAAGGTCAGCCGGACTCTTGTAGAATCTCAGAAGGTCAGCCATCGGTAAGTCTACAAATTCGATTCCAGGCAAGCAGGGGACCTCGAGCTGCCTGGCCTGGCCAACCTGGGCTTTGAGCTGCAGTGGTGGCACTACGTGGCCGCAGGACCGCCGTAAGCTGCCGTAAGCTGCTGTAAGTTGTCAAAAAGGTTGAGATGAGGCAGAGCCAAACTTCAAGCATCATGAGCAACCCACTCTACCTGGAAGCACCCAGCAGCTGAGAGGTGCAGCGCTTCTTTTCTTGCTGTGCTGTGTCTACCGCTACTGCCGCACTTCTCAAGCAACCGTCTATGGACTCTGGGCTGCATGGGCTCAGTTCTCCTGACATCAGCGGCAGTGTGAACAGTTGGTGCTTCCCCTGAGGCGATGTGCAGACTGGGGGTAAGTCCAGCTGGTCCAACCTCAAGAGTGTGGTCAAGTTTCTTGGCGTCTTCTTCTGCAGGTCAGTCAGTCAGTCAGTCGGTCAGTCAGAGCAACGCAGACAGCAAGGTTGCCATCTCAAGTCGTTTGGAGGTGGGCGATCATGTTCTCATTCCCTCATGTGGGCAGAAGAATCCATGGAGTTTAGAATTGCCTGTGTGTCCGTGTGCACTATACTGCTTTTGCTCAAGCTGCCCTTGCAGGTACATTCTGCGGCCAATCGGCTCCCTTGTGCTTTGGCAGCCAGAACACCTTGACATCCATGGTGTACTGAGACATGCTTTGCCTGCAGGCTGGAGCCGATTTGATGTTCCAAGCTTGCTGCAAACCATGTGAACTTCTGAAGGTCATGTGGACGGTGGTTCTAGTCCTTTCTAGTCTCTGGTCAGGCATTTGCACCTGATACGTTTTCGTCACCGAGTGTGCGCCGATTCTGAGGTGCTTCGAATGCTGGAGCCGATATGGACACGCGCGCTACGACCGGTCCTGCGCTGGATTGGGGGCACGCGCGCCGCCAGGCTTCTTGCAGGCCACAGCATACGCGGTTTACAGTCGCAAAACGTGCCCTGACAGCATTGTTTCGTGACGCCTTCAGGATTTGGGCGACGGCTGTGGCGCCTTCTGAAGTGCCCTAGCGATTCAGTCCACACTGCCATGCTGCAGCTACTTGAGAAGCCGTGTGTAAGATCAAGATTCTTTGTAGTTACAGGACTGAATGGTCAGGTGCTGCTGCCCATGCCTGAGACGGCTGGAGAAAGTGTCTTTCAAGGAGGCCTTCTGGAACATTGATTAAGTGACGTCGGGCAATGCAGCATGCTGTGGGCATGTATTGCAGCATAAAGTAGACCCAAGATACCTGGGAAAGTATGAGCTTTTGCACCCGGCCAGACGCTGAAAGCTGCCCGCGACCCGATGGCTGCCAGCAAATCTACGTGTGTCGCTCAGAATGCTACTGTCATTATATACGCACGACGCACGATACCAGTAACAGAGTTTTCGCCCAAAGCCTTTGAGAACCCGTGTGGTGCAGAAAGTCCAGAGATCAACAATGTGACTTGTTGAGATGTGGTTGGGCAATGCTGACTTCAGTCGGAATAGTCCACCCCAGCAGTGTTGTTTGGGCACCACGGCCACATTCAGTGGACGGGAGTCGGGAAGCCAAACGAAGGTCACCAAAGAGGCAGGCTGCACGAAATTCAGCAAACAGGCAAAGACACAGTTCAGAACGTGCATCGTGGGGAAGGGTTCAGGGCTCGTGCCTAGGGCTTCGCCGCGTCCTGTATCCGAGATGGTGTACTGCATTATTGCACATTCTCGTTTTTCATATTATCAGACTATACTACTATACTATAGATTTATTCATTCTGATATTGGTAGGACCTACTGTAAGGATGTTCTACAGGGTGGCACCTTCACGAATCTCAAAGTGAGGCCAAGCATATCCAGAATGGATGTTGTTTTCGTCTCGCCGGCTTTGCCATTGCCGGACTGCCCCCCCTTGGAACTTGATCGCAGGCCTTGTTCAAGCGTTTCAAGAGATTATGTAGGGGTTCAATAGGCCAAGTTTACAAGTTCAGCGCTCCTTGCACTCTTTAACTGAGGCTGATTACGTTCTGGTGTCTTGTTCTGCCCTTTCTCAGCTGCCAAGGGGGCTATTCCTTTCCAACCCGGGAGGGGAACAAGTTCTATTAACGTGTCTCATTCAGTCTGAAGTCACGAAAGCTAGCAGCTAGCTCCTTGGAGCTTGCGAGAGTTGTCGTTTACAACTATTGATTCTACCATCTTTGCCACCCCAGGCAAGGGGGGTGGCGGCCGGGGGGGGCGCCCTCCCTGCAGGCCCCACACTGCAGAGGCTCCCTATTTCAATGTGTCAAGAACTGGAACGAGGATACGAATCCACAATCCTTCGGAAAGTTTGTTCTGCTACCCTTGGGCTTCCGATGATGCCAGAGTATTCATGATCGGATGCGATCGTTCAAATCGGAAAACACACACTCCCTTTGCCATGTAGCTGACCATGTCGCTGACCGTATTCCAGACCATGTGTGGCATTTTAGGTGTTGGGGAGTGGCCATCGAAAAGTAGCACCATCACAAAGTCATCCCTAACGGCACACACACACACACAAGCACGCGCACACGCACACGCACACGCACACGCACACGCACACACCCCATCACAAAGTACTCTCCGTTACCTCTAGCAGCTGTGCATGCGCAAGCCTCGCCGCTGTAGTTCTCATTGCTCCCTCGAGAATGCGTTCCGACGTATTTTGCCAGTAACAATACATCAGCGTTGAGTTTGACATGAAATTCTCAAAGGCGCGCGCGGGTGGCGCGGCAGTGGGAGCTGCGGCGACAGCTGATGTCCGGAACTTTGGATGCGCAGAAGGCGAAGGACGGCTGGAAGGGCGGGAGTGGCCTTCAGCTGCACCCCGACACTACAATGACCGTAGCGACTCAGTAACAGATTTCTCCGCAGTTGCATGCTCATGACTGAGACAAGCCTCTCTTTGCAAAGGGTCATGAATTGCACGCGTTTTACGTTCAATCGTCTCAGTTTTGAGGACGACTTGCTTGGCCAGTGCTTCGGTCGCAGAGCGTGTGAGCATGTGACTGTGATATGAGCACTGCAGGCCATTTCGCACCTAAATCCGCCGCTACAGCCTGAAGTCAGCAAGTCAGCAAGCTGCCGCAAACCCAGGCTCAAGCGAGGAGAGATCGACGAGAAGGAGCTTGGCATACGCCAAAGGGAGATTGATGATCTGGTCGCGAAGAGCCAGGTTCGGCAGCGGCTAATCATTCAAGAGTTGTTCGATGGCTCCTGCTTGTATGGGCTCGCACGGATCACGTGGGAGGGAGCTGAGGCGCAATCGTCAATCTAGGATGATCGCAGGCAGAATTTAGGCATCTGGCAGGTGGCACTTACAAGAGTAGATTTTTTGAGAGATGCTGACCGCAGACTACCGCAAAGTGCTTAGCAGGCCATGATGAGCAAGGCTTCGCTGAAGGATCGCGTGAAGAGCATGAGATCACAGAGTGCCGCCCTCAGCCTCAAGTAGAGGCGAGATGTCAATATCAGAACGTTTGCAGAAGCATGCTTCAATGAGCTGATATTCCACCATTCGCTTGGGGGGCCCTGCATTGTCATGGTACGAAGGCATGCTGCAGATGCAAGCACGGATTCGCAAATCATGGGATGTTGTGCGACTGTAGCTGGCATGTATGGCATGCACCACAAGATTCCCCGGGTGGGCTGGCCGAATTGCACAGCAGTCGCAATGTTGTTGCAGGCAGCTTCCGTCCTTTGTCCGCGACCAAATCCTTCAATGTATCAAAGACATTTTCCGCGACCATGAGCTTTGCAAGGCCCTCACCTGGGCACCTGCGTCTGCTGCATTTTCGCTGACATGTGCCGTAAACATTCTCGACCCAAACGTAGCCCTAGCCTGAATGCCATACTGAAGGGATCACTTACCCCTAACCCTGAAGCCCCCCCATTTTAAACCCGATGCTATGCTCAACTCAGGACCTGAACCCTGTCGCCATCCCTCAAACTGTATAGGTTTTGTATTGGGCTGGAAATTTCGAAGGGGGTTTAGTATTAGGGGAAGGGCTTAGCGATGGATCAAAGTGGGCATGTCAGTCGAGCAGGTGGGACATGCATGGTCTGGCAATGACTGGCAGGTCCGGTTCGATGCATTCAGCTCGTGAAGATGGCGGCCGATGCTGCCTCGGCCTGAGAGAAGAGCTGAACGGCGAGATGTAGTTCAAAATTGTTAAACCAAACTCTCTCGGGGCTGGTGCGAGTGTGGGAGAGAAACACAGGAATCATTGCAAGCTTTTCCAGAAAAAACATCGTTTATCCAGGCCTTCGGAACACCTTCAAGCCATTAGGGCCATGCCTTGCGCCCTGATTGCCTCAATCAAGTTGAACTGCTCCGTACAGGGTGAAGGGCAAAAACGTGGCGCCTTCGCTCATGCCCAGCTTTTCTATGCTGATCTGGGCGCTTGAGGGCTTTGCCTGCTGCTGCAGTGCATAAACCACCGCAGCAGGAACAATATCCTGTTCAGGCGCATGCTGCCGGCGACTTCCCAAAGAAGAGTCGAAGGAGGAGCAAGTCCAGGGTGCAGCTGAGGCAGCCGCTCAAGAGTCAAAGCCTTACTTAGGGAGGTCAGTTTGGCAGGGCTTAGAACATGAGCGCTTGTTCCCTCGATGCGGCAAGTGTGGCGACCAGTCTGCAAGATGCCGAGTCCCGACGAAAGCAAAGGGTCAAAGTGGAGACCGGAAGATGACGAGGAGCAGGGTGTGGGCTTTAGGCTTTCGCCTGCATCTCTCACCTGACACACGGACATATGGAAGACTGCTGCATATTGCTGCATGCCATGCAACTCCCTGCTTTCTACAACCTCAAGTCTTTTGCTCGGGCAGGAGTGGGAATATTTCTGGGAGGAAGATTCCGAAGAGGAGGATTTCGAAGATGACCAGGACACCGCAACACTGCACTCAAACCGTGATCTTAAGCTTTCGAGACATCGTATTTCATCCCGCCCGACTCGACTAGACACCTATAGAAGACCATGCAGCGCTTTCGGCGGCATACTCAATGAAGGAATGGCTTGTTGAAGCATACCAGGTCGGCAGTTAAAGACCGATTCTCTCCTGCTTTTCAGTTTCGTGTTTCGTGTCAGATGGTGGATGTGAGTCCAGCTCGCACCCGTGGGCAGAGTGAGAGCCTGGCGGCGGCCCCAAGCCCACAGTCCAGACGGCTCCATCTGTTTTAGCGTGTTTCAATCACAGGCATGCAGCAATTATCCACGCAGACACCGAGGGCTTCGGGCCGGTGGCTTCACGCACATCCAGGACATCTCGAGGCAGTGCGAGCGAGGCAGCCCAAGACCGTTCCCTTTTGATGCTGGTGTGCTGAAAGCCTACGCAGCAAAGCAAGTATCTACTGGCCTTTCGCCTCTCCACCTTCCTTGCATGCCCCTCCTCTGACCTCCCAACCAAAGGCCTGACGCTTCCTTTCCGAGCAAGCAAATCCAGGGGGGAAGCTAAAACGCACACCTTCGTTGGCAAAAACTTACTTTGAAGGTTTGCACTTGCTTTCTCCGGTGGAGTTGTGCTATTATAATATTATCAGAATAAGGGTGCATTCTTTACTATAGTTCATACCATTATCACGGGGCAGTAAAATAGGAAAAGGACGAAGAGAATACAATTAATTTACTGAACGACATGTATGAACAAAGTGAATCAGTGAATTAATGTATGAACGAAGTGCGGTTTCTCCTTGTCATGCATGCGTTACTGCCTCATTCATAGTGCCCCTTTAATAGTATTATTTTCATGCAAACTTGTGCGCGATTACAATGATACTATATATTAGGGGCACGAATGAACGCAGTAAAACCACCATTGACAAGTTACCGCATTCAAGGACACATTAAAAGCCCCTACAACTATACTACTACGGGCCAGTTCACTGGGGTTCAGGGTGGAAAATGGAGAAACAACCTGAATAAAAGGGTGTAATTATGAGGAAGATTCCGAAGAGGAGGATTTCGAAGATGACCAGGACACCGCAACACTGCACTCAAACCGTGATCTTAAGCTTTCGAGACATCGTATTTCATCCCGCCCGACTCGACTAGACACCTATAGAAGACCATGCAGCGCTTTCGGCGGCATACTCAATGAAGGAATGGCTTGTTGAAGCATACCAGGTCGGCAGTTAAAGACCGATTCTCTCCTGCTTTTCAGTTTCGTGTTTCGTGTCAGATGGTGGATGTGAGTCCAGCTCGCACCCGTGGGCAGAGTGAGAGCCTGGCGGCGGCCCCAAGCCCACAGTCCAGACGGCTCCATCTGTTTTAGCGTGTTTCAATCACAGGCATGCAGCAATTATCCACGCAGACACCGAGGGCTTCGGGCCGGTGGCTTCACGCACATCCAGGACATCTCGAGGCAGTGCGAGCGAGGCAGCCCAAGACCGTTCCCTTTTGATGCTGGTGTGCTGAAAGCCTACGTAGCAAAGCAAGTATCTACTGGCCTTTCGCCTCTCCACCTTCCTTGCATGCCCCTCCTCTGACCTCCCAACCAAAGGCCTGACGCTTCCTTTCCGAGCAAGCAAATCCAGGGGGCGGCCGAGGGGAGGGAAGCTAAAACGCACACCTTCGTTGGCAAAAACTTACTTTGAAGGTTTGCACTTGCTTTCTCCGGTGGAGTTGTGCTCGGAACTTGGTGTTGAGATTCGCTGATCTAGGTGTCCTCGATGGGTTCAGGGTTGGAGAATGGAGAAACAACCTGAAAAAAAGGGTGTAACTATGGTCCTAGCCATCCTATGCCTGACCATATCTTTGGGGGGCAGGGAGAAAGTCCTTTCAAGAAAGGTTGGGTGTCGTCAGCATGCCAGGGCAAGCGACCGACGAGTCCTACAATCACGGAGTGAGCTGTCAAGGGCCAGGATTTTCCTGCGCGTACCTTGGGGCTGCCGCTGGAAATGTGTGTGTGTGGATTATGTTGCTATAGGCTGTATTAGACTGCAAAAGACACCGGCGAGATGTGGCGACGATCAGCGCGCACGATGCAAAACACTTGCGTGGTGTGCTGACTGAAGAGGGACGCCTGACATGCCACCGCGATGGAATGCAAGATTCGGTCTTTGCTTCCCTTCCTGTCGATGAGACACGGAATGGTGGTGGTGTTCGGGTGTTCGCATAGGCACTAGCAGAGCCGCGAGAGTGCATCGTTTTTTTTGTACATATCCCCACTCGCACGGACCCATCCCATCGCACAGCCCAAGCAACCAAAAATAGCACGAGGCTTGAATCTACTCGTGGGGCTCTAGATGGATCTGTGGGACCATGAGTTTCTGCTGAAAATGTCCAGCAGACTGCTATGCTCATGGCGTTAATGCCAGCCCATTCGAGGCCAGATGGCTGTAGAGGCAAAAAAAGCATTCACAAGGGCTGCTGGCAATCATGGGCATCACGGTATGACGCGAGTTAGCGACATGTTCACCTGCTTGTTAGTTCTGGGCAGATCTTCGGAGCTGCACACTGGCGCTTGCGCAGGCATACGTTTTCAGCTCCAACGAGATCTGAGTGACTTGAGATGATCTTGGTCCTAAGGTCCTGAGGTCCTGCCATGACGACAGCAAGGGACATGAGCTCCTGCTACCATGAAATACCATGATTGCAATGAATATGTTGAGGGGAAGGAGGCTGAGGGTACTCCCGCACCCCTGCTGTCCTTAGATCTCTGCCTGCAGCAGGACGTCAATGGAACAGTTATGTCAGATACGTTCGTTATGTTTCACATTGGTAAATACGAAGCGTGCCTGGTGGACTGGCAAGTGAGGTGGCATCCCTGGCGGTCACTCATGCCGCCTCCATGTGAAGAATCGTTCGCGAATGATGGGTTCGCAGTGTCTGTAGGTAGCAAGAGCTGCATAGCTACAAGGTTACATACCTTGCAACAGCCACGGATGGCTCTGCATGCTACTCTGAACCGACTTTCAGCAACGTCGATGAAACTGCCAGAATCTGAAGAGCAAGAAGTCCTTCAGTGCCCAATGTGCCACAAGATGCGGAGCTGCGACAGTGCACCATGGCTGCTTTGCCAGCTGAGGCACGCAAGTGCTAGAGTTTCGGTTCTTCGTGAGCACCAGCCAAGACCTGTGCTTAAAAGGCCTCTGGAGGCACCCTTGCAGCTGGAATGATCTAGGTGATGTGCTCATAACAGGTAAGGGTCGTGCGCAGCTGCTGAAGTAGCCAGGAATGGAAGGACAAGGAGGCATATGCTGAGTGTACAAAGACGCCTCAATCATGCATGAGATCAGGCTCTCTTTCGTAACTTGAAGCCGCAGTAAAGGTCTCAGAGGTCTCCTGTATAGGCGTGCGCAGCGATCAAGGATGCGAGAGCGGACTTTGATCGGTGGGGGCGTCTGGGGTGAAAGTCTGAGTGGCGATGTATGCGGCCGGGGCGCCAAGTATATCAAGAATAAAAGCAGTCTATAAACGCGACCAGGAAAGGAAGAACATGACCGGTCAGCGCCTCATGTGTCATGGCGCCAGCTTCTGTCCAGGCACAGCGGCTTGCCAGCCGCGCACTGCGGCCCTGGCTGGCACGAGCTGCGCGCCGCCCAATGCCACGGGGCCGGCCTGGAAGGCCCCGGATGCCAACTCAGCCCCCAACTCAACCCTGCAAGATATGGACAGCCGGTTGTCGAAAGATCGAATCGAAAGAGGGAATAGAGGGATCGAAGAGCACGGGCGGCACACATCAGCGTACGCAGTCGGGAGCACATCATCAGACCTCAAACGAATATTGCTGTCCAAGGCCAGGTGCGCCAGAACTTCAATTCGAACTGCAGTGCCTGAACTGCAACCAAGGGCACTCCGGTACGCTCTCCGTCAAGTCTCTTCAGCAGTCGTAGTTGGCAGACGGAGTGAGGAACATGATGGGTTAGACTTGGATAGGCTTGGACATGTCAAACTGGCTGAACACATCCACCGGACGGTGTGCTGGTGGGGACAGCAGTTGTCCTCGTCCTGCAGGCCCAAGCCATTGCAGGAGCACGGCTGTACGGGCAAATCATTCTCCGAGGAGGTGGCAAGCGGTACGAGGACGGTGGACTTGCATAGCATGTATCTGTGTTGCTCTTCAGGCCTCATACAGCACTGGTGACACTGGTGTTGATGGCGTCCGAGCCACCTCTTGTGCCACGTATGGGTACTGTAGCATTGCTGTTTGACTCCATGATTTTTGCTCCGTTCCAGAGCTAGTGCTTCTTTCTAAGCTTGAGACTCGAGCCGGAATCCGCAGGTGTTCACATGGCCAGGACACTTTGCTGCAGGAGATGCCGCTGCTTGTTGGGGGAGGGCTAGGCAGGAAGACCTAAAGAACCTCCGTACTGCGCCGCGCAATTCTTGTCACTAGCTGGCGTGGCCGCCTGTTGGCATCCACTAAGATGCTTCGAGAGTTCAGCAATACCAAGGCCGCTGCTGAAGAGGCTGCAAGCGCGCAGCGAGCTGCCTCACTGCACGCATTGCGCCGCGGAGAAGTGGCGCCGGGCGCGCCTTTGCTCATGGTATGACTCGCTTGGCCTTTGGTATGGCAGATGCATAACGCTTAAAATCTAGTGAAAGTTCAAGCTTGCAAAGAGAAAGTTGAATTGAATAGTAATTCGGAGGCGGCAATGATGGTGCAATGCATCCTCATACTCCTCGACTTGTCCTCTTGAAAGAATGAGTGTGCTTTGAACGAGTCTGATGCTATAGTGGACACTGGTCAGCTCATCAATGCTGCAAACTCACATGTGAGACAGTCGAGGCCGTACTCTCCACCTACTTCATCCTTGTGCGTCACGGCAAGTTCTGTCCTTGGCATGAGTTCTCGCTTGTTTGTGGGACACAAGCGGCTGTCAGAGTCACGTCCATTTCCAAGGGTGTGTCGCCGGGTTCGTGAACCCCATGTCAAACCCTGTTTCAAGTTAAGCCGATCGACGTGCCGGCGTCGGGTGCATTGCCTCACTCAAAAGGTCCCTGGGTGCTGCGGAGGCTGCGGCGCTTTGGGATGCCCTCACGGAAATGCCTGCCAGGCCGAAGCATGGGAGCGTTGATCGAGTCAGGAAAAGTACCAAAACAAGTCACCTCGACTGAGGCAATAAAGAAGCCCTAAGTCGGACACCTAAAAAGCCCAAGTCGAAAACCTAAAAGAAGCCCCCAGCTTGGGGCTTAGGTTTGTGGGTTAGGGTCCGTCCTGTTTTTCGAACTCCTTTTTCGACTCTGCTTGAACCCATGGAATCTGGGCCCTGTGCAGGGGCACCACGCCGCCACTGCTCAGGACCTGGGCTGTTCGAGTAGTTGGTTGACACTGCTCAGCTGAAGCGTTCGGCAGTTTTCGGCAGCTCTAACGTGAGTAAACCCTCGCTCGGTGTTTTTGTTGGCTCAACTTTGTTTTTGGGAGGGGTTGGGGTGCCTTGGGCTTTTCGCTGAGCTTGAAGCCTTAAAGCTTTCAATAATTGTCAATGCAAATGAGTCTTGGCATCCGGAGCCTCCAGGGGCCTTGAATAATTGTAAACGCTTGCGTGCGCCGCCTCGGCAGCCGGGCCGGCCCCAGGACAGGAAAGGACAGGAAAGGAGGAAAGAGGTTTCGCAAAAAAACGGGAGGAAGGGCAGCGGGGTTAAAGGGGGGGGGGTGGGAGGGGGGGTGGAGGGGGCCAGACGCTTCTCGGCAGGAAGCCGAGGCGAATTCTGGGTCTTGAACACGGGTGGATTTAGGGCTATCGTAAACTACCCCCCCGTTTCAGATGTCAGGGTCTTACGAATGGTTGCGAATCAAGGCCTGAAGCTTGGAATGGTAAGGGGCCTTGAAGGTTGAAGGCTTTGAGTTTCAGAGCCAGTATTGAGCTTGCTCAACCTGATAAAAAAAGAAATTGCGAGAACGGGGGGGGGGGGGTCAAAAAACAGTAACGATTGACCAGTAGCCACATGCCTCTGCTGTACTGGCAAAGGCTCTCGGGACGAGAGCTGTGCGACACACTCTTCGTCCTCGCCTCTGCGCGCCGTTTCAATCGACACACGGACATTGCCCACGAGGCGGCCGCAAACCCCAGTCATGATGATTCTTTACATGCACCAGCTGTTCCATGATCGGCTGGTGGTCCTAGCGGCTCATACCTCCAGGTTGCGAGGACTTTGTGCTCCCACTACGAGGAGTACCTCTCTGAGTTGCAGCTGTGGCCTCAAACGCTTCCGCTTGTAAGTGTACCTTGGCCGGAATCAAGGGCCTGAAGGAGATGCATAGTCCTGCCTTCACAGGGGGCAGATTGGTTTATGTCCGTTTGCTCGGCAACCAAGGAATTCTTGGCCTGGCATTGCGGAAGCTTGGGCGCGAATGAGAAAGCACGAGGTGATGCAGCTTGTGCAATCCACGTCAGTCCACCAAGTGCACAGACGTTCAGTCCAAGGAGACTCGCGATTGTTGAGCAACTTCTTGCGGACGGTGCTGGTGCCATTTTGGCGCAAGCATGCGGACACTGCCGCAAGCCCGCCCTAGCACTGTGACATACTGTGACGTTTCGTCTTGGATTGGAAATTCGAAGCCCTTCTTGAGCCTCTCAGGTGCAGGCAGTCCTTGTGCCCCACCACGCGCAAGCTGTGTCAGCGGCCTGCGCTCGCTGCGGAAGGCTTGTGAAGGGAAGTGCCTTGTGCTCGACACGTACTCTTGGCACTTTGCAATCGGCAGGGCCTTGCCGCATGACGTCCTGGAAACTGTCCGCAGCACATTGTGCAACTGGACCATTGCCAACGTTTCTCGGCTGGGCCCTCGCGGTACGGCAGGCGGGGGAGCGCTAGGCTTGCCAGTTTGTGCTCAAGGGAGATCAAAAGACGGCATACATGTCAACATAGCCTTTGCAATACAGTGGCGGGCTCATGATTCAGTCTCGGCGATCGAGGCATGGCGTTGGCATTGTCGAGAGTAGGACTGTGTGCTTTGTTGCTTGCAGTGGCTGCTCACATCGACCACTGCTTTTGAATACGGGCACAGTGTACAGGCATCAGAGTGGCATCAGTCATCTCATGCCTCCTGCACCTAATTAGAAGTCCTCTCCATACCACGCTCCACTGGCTGTTTATCCGCGTCGCGCCGCCTCGGCAGCCGGGCCGGCCCAATGGGGGGGGTTTCAGGGCAGGGGCGGGTCAGCGGGGGTTCGGAGGGGGCGGGGGTCCTACGGGAAGGTTCAGATGAGGGGCCGGAAGGGCTGAGACCAGATCCTGGTCTGCTTGTTCTAGACGCCTCTCAGGCGCAAGCCGAGGCGAGTTACAGCAAGAATGGTCAGTCCGTCCCCTAAAGGTATACCTCCCTCTGCACAACCCAGCCAACCTTCGCCAAGTCAAAGTGAACAGCTACGTTATGTATCAGTGGTAGATGCGCATGCCAAGCACGAAGGACCCGGCCTAGCTGGAGAGGAGCCCAGCCATTCCTTTGCATGGCGCTGATGTCTTAGTCGTCTCGGATTGACCAAACCTGGAGCACGGGAAGTGTGAGCTTGGCCACGCAATGTTATGACCTATATAGAGTCCAAATGCTGCAATGCGTAGAGAATTCTGTCGTGAAAGCTACTGTGCTCGGCAGTTGCTTGTCTCGAGCTGCTTCTGCAAAGCGCCATACAGTGTACAGCATGATTTAAGAGGTTTTCATGGGTCATTCACTGCGTTGCCTCGACAATGCCTAAGGGATCTTCTCTGGCGTGATCTTGTCTTCATTCTCAGCTAGCTGAACACATTAAACAGAGTAGAACGCGCATTCCATGGCACGAACATGAAGCAGGCATAGAGGTATAGCCATTGGCAACAGCGACCCAAAAAGGAAGCCAGCAGGAACCTCCCGAGTCAAAATCCAAAATCCGCAGCAAGTGAAGAACTGTTGTACTGTGCCGTTCTGGGGCAAAGGACACGAACGAGTTTTCAATTATCTCAAATCACGTCGGCCCCTTTGTGGAGGATGCCAACGCGCAGTTGTTGACAATGTTGGTGCGCCGTGCCGGCCAGCTCTTGGAGGCAGCGTGTCTTGCGGCTTAAGTGCACGAAGCCACGAAGTCTCGGTGCAAGAGCCATGCCATGCACCTGAGGAGGCAGCTGAAGGTTCGAAAAGGATGCAGCGCCCGCCGGCTATGGAAGAACACGTTATGACATATTTGAAAATTGGCATGCAGCGATCACAACGGCAAAAGATCGTGGAAGCGGGCAGCCCAGGTCGCTCGGATGACAAGGCTCCGGCCAAGGGTCTTTCAGTTTCTGGCCGCATTCGGCTAGCCCCTGTTTTTTCCTAGAGTTCTGACATGCAGGTCTTTTGGTGATCGGTCCGCTGGGTGCGTTCATGCTTACGTGAAATAGACTTTGTGGCGTTGCGGGTTCCTGGGGAGCAGGAGTTGATGTAGAGTTTTGCATATTGTGTATATATATATATATGTGTGTGTGTACATAGTTTGTTTCGTTTATGCTTATTTATTATTTAGTCAGCAGGTCCTTTTGCACCTCAAAAAAAATCTGGCGCAGGTCCTCAAGCCGCTGACGTCAGCTGCCTGTCAGCACACCTTGCCTTACAGTACCGTTGCTTCACAGATGCTCCTGATTCAAGACATACCGGCTTTTGAACAGGTGCAGTTCTTCCGCCCGGACTGGCTTGGCATGTTTCTGAGTGCATTGGCACGTGGCCGCGTCCGAAGCGAGGTGGAAACACTAAGGCTGGTTTCGGGCAGTTGGGCTGCAGTTTGCTGCGCAAGCAAACTTCGCAACTGCTCTTCACTTTTGCTTGGCGGCGACTTGGCCCCAGGCGCCTGCTGGAAGCACACCTCCTCCCGCGACAGCGCAGCCACTGAGATGGCATCAGCCTGCGGGATGGCTTTGGGACTTCCGGTCATCTTGCAAGTGCCACCCCGATCTCCCCTCATGAGATCCTGCAGCTTCAGCACTGTGTTCTCTATAGGTCTAAGAGTCTAACAATGGGGCGTTCACATCAGCGTAGCGCATGCAGGGCGCATGCGTGTTCCCATTTGTGTACCCAGGTCTTGTGCGTAGTGGGACTGTGCTTAGAATGGTTGCGCCTCATGGTTTTGCTGGTGCTTCCCCTTGCGTTCCCTCATGCCTGATTCTTCACTCGGAGGGATGATCAGCCAAAGCTGCTTCGTAAAGACGTCGCAACCAAATTGGGGATCCGAGTCATTCCAGAGCATCCCCGCCCCCTTCAGAGCTCACAGGAATGGAGGGTTCAAAGGTTGCGTTGGTGTTGTGTTTTGCTGCTGTTGATCGGACTTGCCAAATCGGGTTCAGGTCGGGGGGCGGGGGCGGGGGGGCAGCTGCGGGTAGCTTTTGAGAATCAGAACCGGTACCCAAACAATGTTGAAACTAGCTTGCGGGGTTGTTTTTTCCAGGGGGAACTCCATAGATCCTTCTACTGTAAGTCTAGAAGTTCTCTGCCAATTCGGGCTGGGAGGCCGCCTGGCCTTCGAGCCGCAGAACCTGGCACTTGCTGCAAACGCGGTGTTGAAGTTGGACAGAAGTCAAGGGAGAGGGAGACCGGGAGAGATAAGAGAGGTGTTTTTTAAGGCTGGTCCAACATGTCAGGCGAGGGCGTTGCAGCATATGACTTAGCCATGAGCATGTTGTTGCAAGAGGGCCAAGCCCCTGTAACCCGTGTAACCCCTGCGCTTCCTTGCGCATTTGTTGTTTGCGCTTTGAGTGCACTGGCCATCGTCTGCACTCAGAATTGTTCGCAGGATCTCCTCCAGCTCCGCCTCTGCGGTCCAACCCCACTGGCAGCGCTGGCCCCAGAGGTGCGCCGCGCTTGAGCCTCAACTGCGGAATATGCTGCTGAATGTGCTGGAACACTGGGCCTGAGGTTGAGGCATGTTGTAGGCATGTTGTAGGCAGAGGGGCGAGGGGATCACAGATGCTTCAGAGGGCCTGTCAAAGGGTCGAGTTGCCGCCTCTTCACGAGCAAACAGAACACGTTTGTGGCTCCTTTGCCCTTACAGTGTCCTACAGTGCATCCAGGTATAGCCATGGAAGGAGCGAGTGGGGCGCAATCCGTTGCTTCCCCGCACAAGCTTTGGGGAACATGGATTCGCTGTTTGGATCCGTTTGCATTGCCTATAAATATCAGCACATCCTCGAGACTTGAGATTTGCGCATCGAGGCTTGCTTGTTGGCGCACGCCTTTGGCAGTGCTTTGCTGCTGCTTTCTGCGCCACCGGCCCCCGCCGATCTCGTGCAGCTTACACAGGCAGCTTGAACAACTTTCGAAATGTCTTTGGCAACTTCTGCACCACATTGGCAGCGCCCCAGGTCTATGAGAAAGTGCTTGGAGATCTTCTCAGCCAGATTGCAGATTTGCCCCTCCGGCATCTTGATTCAACTTGCTACTGGAATTGCGAAAACAGTGAACTGATCAGGGTCGGGCGGAGGCTAGCGGCTGTAAGGCTTCACAGCGCTGTCGTGGCCATTCCCCCTATCTTAGCAAGAACGGATAGAACATGATGGTGGGAAAAATGTTTGGTCATGCACGTGGAGTCGAACCGTGCCCTTCAACATCTGAGGAACATTCGTGTTCGATTCCAGCTCTTGTCAGCTGCGACTTGTCCTTCAACCCCCACATTGGCGCTGCGGCTATCTATAATCTATACCCGTGCAGACGCGCGAAGTAGTGGCACGTAGAGCCGAAACATGCGGAAGCTCAGGTGTCACAGGCCTGCCGACCAACTGCAGCATGTATGCTGTTCATCCAAAATAAGGTTCAGTGCTGGTTTCATGCAACGGAGCTGGGTGAGAAGGCTTCGCTGGCATCGCTCCGTCGCGCAAGAAGTTGCTAATCTGAAGCTTTAAGCAAGTGAGTTCAAGTGGCCAAGCGCAGACGTTTGTCTGGCCAAAGCCGTGCGCTGTTCAAAGGGGAAAGTGCATCCTTACATGAAGGACTCATTTAATCGAGCATTCTTGGTATACACTCACAGACTTGCGCATTGTATCACAAAGTGTCTCCCAGCTTTCGACCAAAAATGAGCTACAACCCGCCCCCCCCTCCCCCCTGTTTTGGTTTGAGGCGGGGTCTTGTTGTGATGGGCCACTTGAACAGTTGGGGACCCCACCTCTCCCTTTTCATACAGTCCCCCCATTCCAGAATCTGCTGGGCTGGGCTGGAAAAAGGGTGGAACGCTACCATGCACTTTTGCGGTTGGGACATGCCAGTGTAGGGCAAATTCTTCGCGAAGGCCACATGTGCACCATGCCTTGGCATACAGTGATGACCGGAGAAATGGATCGAAGCAGCAAAAAAATCAACAAGTTGCTATGCGGGGCCAGTGGCACGACCTCACTATGGTAAAAATGTGCATGTCGCTCTTCAAGATTCCGGATCCCGCCGTCTCAAGGCGTTCTCTCCAAGGCTGGCGAACTTCCTGGGCCTGAGGAGTCGCTGGGTGACCAGGCGAGGGTTGAAGAACACTCTCGCATGTGGAATGAGGCTGTCGGTCTGATCCAGTATGTCCCACTTGCCAGTGTTGGGCGCATCACGAGGACCTGATCAGCACCAAGGGTCACGCGGAGGTTGCCGAGGCTTTGCCGAAGCAATGGCAGACGTCGGCTCGCATGGAACACTTCGCGTGGCCCGATTTGCAGTTGGTTTCGTTCCATGCTTAAGCGAGTATTGTTGAGTTGGGTCTTCGCACACGGCTCTTTTTGCCAACGAGGTTTCCATTCTGGCTGGACATTGTTTTGGCACAGCTGGCAACACCAACGAGAACGAGTCGGCAGACTGACAGCTTGCGGTGGAAAATGCAAAAGTCACAACCAAGTGTGAAGCCATGGGGGCTGCAAGATGCCGCAGCTTCCGCGCGCACTCGTCACATGTCACTCTGATCCGTTCTCCAAGCTCACAACGCCTTTCGACATGCTAGCCCATGGCCCATGGTCCGTCGAATCCCTCATGCCACCAATCCAAAGAGTCCCTCCCGCGTCCTCGTGTTAACTTGTTAGGCAGTAATTCGTGCTACGGTCCGACCATGTCGATTGTTCAGCTTGCAGCAGTCAAGAGAGCCCACTTAGGAGGTAGCACAGCCGCCCTGGACTTGAAGTCCTGGGACACTCAAGATCACTACGCATCACCACCCAGGTTTTAACAAAAACACAACACATTTATCACTGCAATCAAGTAGTCAACGTTAGTAAACATGTGGCCGCGCTGCAATGTGCTCACCTTTTTGCGGCATCCACGTATCGCTGCACCTGCGACTTGTCCGACGAAAAACCCCTATCCCCCAACCTTCGATCAAAATTGGAAGGCCCCCCCCCCCCCCCCCCCCCCATTGTTTCCTGCGGTTGGTCTTGCCTTCGTGGACCCGAGCCTGTTTTTGTCCGTGAGGCTTCGCTTTCGCGTCGCTGGTGACCTGGCTGAATTTCGCCGCAACTCCCGGGAATGTGGCTCTCGCAGTCTCTCGCGTCATGCAATCATGCAGTCTCTCTGTCAGTATCTCTCAGCCCAGGGCTTCCAGCAGACAGAAGAGGCATTTGTGGCGGTGGGGCGCCAGCACAGAACCAAGTTCAGGTTAAAACTTCAGTGCCTGACCGAAATAAACGAAAGCCAAAAGCTAAGCTGCTGCCGATGAACACGAGCACACGGACCACCTACTTAATTAGCAGAGTAGCACGACGATCCTTTCGGCACAGTTTTACTTGAAGCTCGACTGGCTCATGTTTGGCACGTCTAGGCCATGGAACTGATGCGCCCGTGGCTTGGTCAATCCGCTCTGCCAATCCCCGGGATGTCACCACAAGAGTGGGGTATACTGTCGGGGTTGCGACATGGTAGGGAACTTGTTCAAGGCCGGAAGTCTCAGAGCAACCTCGGATGGTCGAGGAGGCGTTCGAGAAGGGTATCTTCACCAGCGAGCCAGCACATGCAAAGCTTGTTTTCAAGCCATTGGGGAACCCTTCGGTGCTCACTGGTGCGTGCAGTTAGCCGATGCCGAGCCCGATGCCCGTTCCACTGCAGATACAGAAGTTGCGCATGACCGAAGAGAGGACGCAATCCAGAGCTTTTCCACAGACGCCCATCTGGCAGCAGGCTTTAGGCGTCACCGCTGCTGCTTGCGGCCCGTCTCACGCAGCCTCGCACCTGGTTTTCTAGGGTGTTACGGAGTCTTAAGGGTCCATTCTGCTTGGCTTGGTGCCGGTATGTCCCTACCCCAAAGTCACTGCAGCTGCTCCAGGCCTTTGTGGTTGACGGCAGGCAGGTGTCGGAGTCCTTTGCTAAAGGATGAAAAGCGAATGAAAGCAGCCGTGTACTGATTGGCTTGAGAATGTCAGGCTTTATACATACGGCTCCAACCGTCATTGGAAGCTGGGGCGCAAGGCATGCACGTGCCATTTGTGTGTGCTGTGTCCTAAGTTAGATAGGAAGGGGTTGTGAGCAGGTACTTAGCTAGCAATCTTCCGTACTGGTAGTCATCGTCCACCGGCGGGCATCAGGGCATTCGCACTGCTATCAGGGCTGGGGGACGTCACTAAAGTCCAGGTCCTCTTGACTTGCTTCAGGTTGACACAAGCTTTCGCCCATTGTCAAAGCGAATGAAGTTTGCAGGGCGATGGCGTCTTGCAAGAACCTGGCCCTGTTAGCCTGAAGGCCGGCCTCATGGGACCTGCAGCATCATGCAGGGCGGTTTGACCGTTGACCGCTGCTTTATCCCGTCTGAGGCCCCGGACGGCCACCAGCCTGTTCCAGAGCTCATCTCCTTAGGAGGCCGCGGGCGCCGTGAAGTGGATGTTCAAGTTTCACTGGCTGTGCATGCTGTGTCAAGGCAGTCACTCCGCGGTCATCACTGATGGCCCGACTCTTTGGAGCTCTGCATCATGGGTCATCCTGGCAATAGGCCAGCTTTACTTGCAGCTCGCGTGGTGGACTTGCGGCAGCTGCCAAGGTGGCGTGCTGTGGACCTGGGGATACGGCCGGCCCCAAATCATGATATTTTGTCATTGTGGTTTCACACAGTCAACGGAAGCTCGCAGCACATCTTCAGGCGAGCAGCGAAGGGAGAAGTTGTGTGAGCGCTTCCTATATTTCATGCCAGCACGCAGTCTCAATGTGAAGTGGCTGCACTGCGCATGATTGTGTGGCAGGTGGTAGCTTTTGGTATGGTGGTGGCGCTTTAGGCCTCCAGCCGGATAAGGGCTGCATGCATTCCTAGATGACCGTAGCGTGATCTGCCCTAGCCATGTTATCTGTAGTGCGCAGAAAATGCGCTAGAGTCGAACTTCAAAATGGCCAGATGCCTTCTTTCATGGTTTCAGGTCTCGGCAAGCGGTCAGACGTCGATCGCCACGTTCTCAGTAGGGCCATCCGAGCCTTGGCCACAGAATACGTGAGCTAGCTGCTTTCACATGTGGAGATTGCAGAAGCACGCGCCGGATGTTTCCAGATTGAACTACGCATAGCTGCGCCCAACCAAGAAGGTGTTTTATAAGGAACCCGGCATGCCCCCCCCCCCCCCCCCCCCCACAAAGCACAGACATGCCATGCAGATGCATTTGCAGGCCCTGAGATGGTCATGAGCTTTGTGAACCACGGGATGGAGGTGGAGCAGGTGCATTGACACTAGGAGAAACTTCCAGGGAAACCTCCGATGACCTTCCGTATATGTTAAAAACTCACCCTTGCGTCACTTGCGTCGCTCCTCTCAGATGTCATCTTGCAAGCAATGCACCAGGCAAGAAAATGCACCAACGTGGCACATGCACAGACTCCTGGATGTAGTCTCCCAGAAAGTGATGCACTCCCAGCCTGTCGAATCACTTCGTGAAGAGCCATGGCTGTGCTTGATTGCCACGCTGGCCTGTTACTTTGCATGCACGCCGCAAGCAAATCAAGGCTGTTGTTTCCATAGCCTGCCACGGTTTCATGCACATCTAGCGCTTCGACAATTTCGAACATCAACTAGCGGAGTGGAGTTGGAGTTTTGAACTATGTATCGCATACACCGAAGCCACCCGAAGCTGATGCGTTTGTGGAGCAGCCGTCGGCGGTCCTGCCTGGCAGTGCCTCAGCGGAGTCACCGGGTTCGGCATGTTGCGCTGTCAGTCGATTTATTGAGAGATGATGCGCATTTATGTATGTATGTATGTATGTATGTATGTACGAATGTATGTGTGTATGTATGTGTGTGTGTGTATGTATGTGTGTATTTATATATAAAGTCATTCATACACACGGGACGTCGACCTTGCAGAATTGCAGGCCAGCTCCAAGATTGAATGCCACAGGATGGTGATGCACTGAGAGAGCACGCAGAGAGAGAAATATAAAGACGGGGCGCAACCGCGAACCATGGTAACCAGCACGTCTCGGAGTGTCTCGGATCTGGGAGCATCGTTTCTGAAGGCGCATTGCTAGTTCAATATTCTAACAATGTGTTGAATGTTAATGACATGGGAGAAACCATGCAGCCCGGAAGCGTCTAAGCTCAAGCCACATCCTTTCACAAGAAAGATCCAAGCTGCGGCACTTACGTGGAAGTCAGCCTTGGTAACCAGCTCAAAGACTTCTCCCACAGGCAAGCAAAGTGGCTCCCAGATGTTACCAGTTGTTTCTTCAGGGTGGCCTGCTAGATCCATCACAGTAGAAAATGGTCTGGATCAGTGTTCTGCTTTGAAATACAGTTTTTCTAGAGGCTTCACACGGGCTATACACAGTGTCGACGGCTGTAGTAATGATGCTTTAGTTTCTCTCCAAGTCCGTGCAATGCAGCCGTTCCTGATGGTGCTTGTGGTTTGCCTTCAGCTGGGCAATCCGCTTTTGACTTGGAGCCAGCACGTGAGTCACGCAGAATGGAGCCTGCCGAATCGTCTTGCCACTGCCAGCCACGCTGCGTTCTGCGTGTGGTCCTTCCCATGCTCATGCTGGCTTGCTTAGGCAGAACCTACCTCGCTGACAGTCGTTTGTCGTGGAGCATGGCTGTCGTCCGAGGAGAAATGAAGCGGCTGGCGCCCAACCCACTAGTCACTTTGATAGACCACGTGGCTGCCGATGCTGGGTCCAGTGCGACCACAGACATACCAGCCATTGCCACTGAGCTAACGGCAGCTCAATCCACCACAACATACGAGATCGTTTCGGCGGCGCAGGTCACGCCGCAACCTTCTCCCACAGCGACCTTGCCATCAACAAACTCAACCTTCACTCAAACCACAAGCGCTCCACATGCTTTCACGAGACTTGAGCCCATGCCTTCGTTGTTTTACCTGGCTGACCAAGAGAACCTGCAGCGCAGCAAGGCAAAGTGCCCTCAAGAAGTTCGGGTCAGTGAATGGAATGGGCGGATTGGCAACCATTACTTTCAGGTGAGCCAGGCAATAGTGGCCGCCCTTTTCTGTCACACTACGCATGTCAGGTTCCCTCCGCACATCAACACGCGTTATCAGCAGCAGGATGGCCTGTTGGACATGCCTGAAGAGCTTACGCTGCCGGGTGTCGACCTCCATGAAGACTTAAAAGTTCCCAGCAGCTGCCCACCGCAGCCAACTCATAAATGGTACCACCAGCACTGCCGGATGGTCCCTGCCTGGCACCACCGGCAGGTGATGCAGACTTTTCTACAGCCATATCTAGGCAAGACTCTTGTTGGCCTTGTGCACGCATCGCGTGATATCGGGGCAGACCGTATTCTGACAATCCACCTGCGCGCCGACGATATTCGGCAGTATAACAAGTACGAGTGGGGCCAGCCGCCATGCAGCATGTATCAGAAAATCATTTCCGACTATGGGTATAAGACCCTGCTGATTGTCGCAAAAAGCAATCCTGTGACGAAGCGATCGGATGCTGCTTGTGACAGCTGGCTGGTGGACTATGGGCGTTTACATGGTATAAACATCACCCGGCCGAACGACATGACATTGGCTGGTGAGCCTTGGCGAAACAAAGGCGTTGTAGCTCCAGGCCGGTCAGGAAACTGCATGTGCTCTCGCACTTGAATTTGGTGATGCGCGATGTGCTTTCCTAGTACTGCTGGCAGCTGAAATGCACGGTTTTGTGTGTGTGGGGTCAATGTCGAAAGCTTAGGACTTGTCAGCCATGATTCGTGCTCAGCAGCTCGGCAGTCGGCAGCGGGAAGAGAGTAGGTCACTACCACTGAGCGGGGATCGGGACGGACAAATATGCATAAACCAGTTGTCAGTCATATGTGAGAGGGTTGGAGTAATACGCTAGGCATTGCAGGTGGTATAGCAGATTGTGAAGACAGGAGGTTTGCCGCAGTCAGTGGTACGAGTAATTTCGAGTACCTTTGAGCCTGCATATTCCGACATACCCCGAAACATCCGTGCATGTGCGAGTCTTATTGTCTCTGCATGGGGTGAAACACAAGATGCTGCAACATCCCCCAACGCATTCAAGGAACTTTGTGCTGTCATTCTCCAGCTTTTCCCTTTCCACTGTGCTGCTCAGCAACGAGATAAAGGCCGGCCATGTGCAGATTCGGCATTTGCATCGACGGTTTGCGCGCTCGCGCGCGAATTCAGTGTTGGAGTCGAGTATGCACCAGCTTCACTCTAGACCCTTGCCCAAGGTCTATTAGACAACAAGGCTTATGAGTCAGTCCCGCACAAGACTTTGCCAATGGTGATCCTTCCTGTCCCATTATGCTGGGTGCCCAACGCGTATGTACCTTTTTTGGCTGCAGCAAGCTGAAGGTCATGTACCGCCGCCGCGATGCGAAGTGGCACAGCATCTTGCACTCCATCATCAACTGCAATGCCCCTTGCAACCGAGCCATGCAAGAATGCATTGGCGCATCGGTTCTCAGTTGATAGGAGACGCGAAAACATGATATGCATCCAATCACACTGGAGACCAGTTCAACTGAAGGCATGTCTCCAATGCCTGGCCAGGATGTGTCAAGGGTCGTATTTGGTCTCTGTTTTTGCCGGTGTCCTTGCTCTTGGGCCCTGTGTCTTTTTCCTGGCCAGGGATTTCTGTCTGTCTTCTATGCATCTTCCATTCAAAGGTCGATTGCTGCATCGGTCGGTTGCTTGGGCGCCTGCTCGGTCCATTGGTCGGCTGTACCGTCGCTCGGTTGGTCTGCGGTACGTCGGGCGGTGATTCGGTCGGCTAGTCATGTCAGGGCCCTTTCTTTTGCAAGGGTGATGCAGGAGCCTTCGTGCGCTTCCGGCATGTTGGCATTCGATCCAGACTTGCCTTTCGCATCAGGTTCCCCTATAGAAGCCAAATGACTGCCAGATGTCAAGCCCCCGGAAGACCGTGGAGATTGAATCCAGACGTTTTCTGGGAAGAAGGGATATCGGATATCTCTAGCCTTCTATACATGGAGGAGGGTAAGGTGTCCAGGCTGCTAATTGTACGGACCAGGCCGATTGAGCACGTCAATGTGCTCAATCGGCCCCTGGATCGCTGATTGACCATTGAAGATGTCCTTCAATGTTCGATCCAGGGGCCGATTGAGCACATGGAGGCACTCAATCGCACAGGCATACTGTATTCAAACTGTATTCAAGATGTGCCAGAAACTTTTGCTGGGCATCTTCAATCTTCGATCCAGGGGCCGATCGAGCGCATCGAGGTGATGAATTCTTTCTGGTTTACACTGTCTCTGGCATTCCCCCCCTGTCCCCTCGCTGTGTGCAGTCGAGCACGCTTGCTTTTGACCGCGAGCATTGTGCTTTGTGCTTTGCAAACGCGTCAAGTTGCTACTTCGTCGACTCTTGTCTTGAGCTGTGTCTTTGGGTTCCATTGAGGTTTTTGTGAGGGCCCCCTAAAAGGTTCCCGGGCCCTTCTTAGGAGGTTCTTAGGGGGCCGGGGGGGGGTATCCAGGGTCTCTGCAGAGCAGACCCCTCCCCAAAATAAGCCGACGTATGAAAGACTGAACAAAGATGCAAACCAAAAAGCCTAATCTCAAGGATAGCATCTAGCTTGGTCTGGAGTCGAGAAATGGACAGCGAAGCATATCTGTTGCAACTCAGGTTTGGACCGGCGTGACGATGTACGAGTACAATACCAGCCTCCAGCAAGACAATCGGAAAGGCTCGCCGAGCGAATGGCTGAAAACCTTCCCCGTGGAGCAGATCACTGGGCCGTTCACTTGCCAACACGGCAGTGACATGATGCCAGAGCTATGAGGTTCAACCATGCCTGTTGCCATGCACAATGCGGGAAAAAGAGGTGCATAAACGGCATAAACTGACAGCAGCACGGACACGTGCACATTAGATGCCCGGCAATCACTAGGTGCAGCAGCCTCTGTCAAACAGCTAGGTTTATCAACGGTTTCTGGGTCTGCAGTGGATGGGTGTGACAGTCTATTTCTTGCAGTCGGCAGGACAAGGCCAACAGAAACCTGTGGTCTCGCAGAGTTGGAGAAAGCACGAGAATCTTAAGTTAGAGCGCGGCGCTGAAACCAAGTGATGGTCATGAAGATCTTGGGAGTGCCTCGCTTTTGTGCGTCTGCCTCAGGCTCTCGGCCTTGCATTTTTCGCCGGGCTGGGCTGCACCATGGCCATGGCGCCTAAAGTGGCGCGTGCTCGCGAGGGAGCTGGACCGGATGACTACGTTTTGGCCGCTGGGAGAACAGGGAATTCAGCAGCAAAGGACAGGAGCGAACGCGCATTGCGCATCCTTCTCAGAATTATTCGTGACGGTCAGGTCCTACAACCGATATCTGCACACAGACAATCACAGGCGTCCGCAGACACTCGCAGTCAATTCCTGTCATTCTTCGGAGCAGAGTCAGGAACTACATAGGAAGTTATGGCACGCCTCACTCTCATATATGGGTGATAGAAGTGGTGGTTGAGTTTCTGGCTTTTGATCTGAGTCAAGGTCATGCACAAGATGCCGCGCGGCTGCACCTCAGTAGATGCCACGCGCTTGAACCCGAGATGTTTACGGAAAACGTCAAACAAGCATGCCCTTCCAAAAATGCTGCTGTAATGTTTCAGATGTTCCTTCCCCTGTACGTTAGCCACCTGACATTGTCGAACCGTACCCTCTAAAGCATCGCATTTGCGGAAGGCAAGGGAACAGATGCTGCGGATCCCCCCTGCTTGGAGCATGCTGGTCAGGTGCCCCTTCGCTCAGCGAGCATGGTTTGCAATGGAGGAGTCGGGGCTGAAGTTCAAGCTGAAGGAGGTCGGCTTGGGTCACCCTGCCATGATTTCTGGGATTCCGAAAGAAGGCAAACCCGAAATTGACAACCACCGAACGGCATGGGTTTGGACTCAGAAGCACCTGCCGCCGCCCGCATCAGCCCAAACAGTTCGTTCCTCACGGATGTCAGGCAGGTAAAGTTGAGGTCGTGCAGTCTGAGGAAAGTTGTACCCCCAGCACCCTTGCTGCTACAGGTTTGTATCGGGCGATTTTCAGGGGCCAGCTAGAGTTAGCTAAAGCTCGCTAAAAAGAGATAATCGGTTGCGGTGAGATTTTGGGGCTCGCCAGCAGCTGCGCCGGGCTCGGATTTGCCACAGACTGTTGGGGGGCATCGCTGAAAGCAGCAAATGGCGACTCCTCCTGACTTTGTGACTTTGTCCTCGCCAAAGGATGAGGGCATCATTCTGGTACATTTGGCTGCCCAACCCCCCGGGCCCCGTCGATTGGACACATGCGGGAGTATGCGGGAGTCATCACTTTGGCAGGTAAGCAAGTAGGTGGGCCGAGAAAGGTTTGCCAGCATTCTGCCGGCTGAGTATAGCCCATGCGCTTAGGTCATGAAAGCACGTGAGGATATCCCAAGGTTGACAAATAGGGCTAGGAAAACCGTGCGTCAACACTGCAGCATATCGCTTTTCCCACCGCCATTGGCTCTAGCAGCAGAAGCAAACGTGTTGCTCGGTGCTTGCTGCTTGGCTGTACCAAGAATGAAGATGGGTGCCTCTTGTCCTTTTGTAGGGTTTTAGGATATTATTGGATTGAATAGGGTTCGTTTAGCGTGTAGGACCAGAGTTTGCAGGTGAGTGTTTTCTTGTGTCGGGCTCATAAGCCTGGTTTTCAATTTGCATTCTTTTCTGTGCGATGAAGGTTTTCGTCGCTTGCAGACTTGGGGGGTTGTGCTTAAGAATGTTTGGATGTCCGAGTTAAAGGTGGAACTTGTGGAGCTACTATGCTCAAATCCCCCGATAACGTAGCATTAGGAAAAGTGTCACGATGGTGGCAGCCTTTTGTCGCGCTGCAGGCGCCTGTGGACTTGCAGCTATGCGTGAGCTTTGCGTTTCATACAACTGTATGTCCTTGAAACAATCTGGCAGACTTGCAGACATTCATGCTGAACTTCGCTGTGCTTCCGTTATATGCCTTCAAGGCACGCGGACAATGGCTGGGTCACAGCCTGTAAATTACATGAAGGCTGATGGGAGACATTTCTTTGAGGCTGGATACGGGCCCCGCTCCAACAAGCATGCAGGTGTTGCCATTTCTTTTGATGCATCTAGGCATCATCGCAAACACCTCACCCAGGTGGCTTGGCCAACAGATCCCTGCCTTTCTGGTCGTGGTTTAGCTGTCAGGTCACGTCGACCATGCAGCGATATCACATACATCAGTGCATATGTTCCACCGGCGACACACACTGAACGAGCTCTTGTGATTACGCAGAAGCTTTTTAGATGGCTTTCCCATGTTCTCAACAAGCTCCCTGCTCGGACCACCCCAGTGCTTTGTCTGGACGCCAACGCGCGTGTTGGCGCCCAGCGTGGAGGAGGCCACCTCACATCAGAGAGCATCGGTTCGTGTGATGCTGAAACAGAAAACGGCAATGGGCCAGTTTTTCAACAGTTTCTGGAGCAATACCACCTTGTGGCGTGCAATACAATGGTTAGTGCTGGTCCAACATTCTATTCTGGCACGTTTCGCACAACTTCTCGCATCGACTACATATGTGTCCCCCAAGGTTGGTGGAGCTCACGGTTGGCGCAGAACCCGCATGTCCTTCTTCACAAAGGTGATCGGCTACAACTCGTCAACTGTGTGAAGCGGGTTGATCACCGGCCACTGGGGGTCTGGTTGCACACTAGAAATCTGCAATACGAAGTGCATGACCAAGTCAATTTGGATCGCGATGCAATTGTCAGATGTATCACTGCAGGTGATTCTCGTGACAGCTTCGTGGAGGCGGTACAACAACAGTGTACAAGCAACTGGGACCGTTGGCAAGAGGCTGTGCAGCGTAACAACCCTACTGATATTTACGATGTTCTTCGTAGTACCCTTCACCGCGCCGCTTCACAGGTTTTTCAAGAGGCTGCGATTGTTCATCCTGCTGTTGCTCGCTGTCGTGATTTGCGGCGAACAGTTCTTGTTCAAAGACGTACTGTGCGTGGTGGTTCATGCAATTTTTATGCTGGTGTGCTATACGATGCTGTTCTGGCATACAAGCATTGTAATCTTGCAAGTGCTTGCAACTTACAATTGCCTCTGAAGGCTATGGGTCCGATTTTCTCGGCCTGGAAAGCCCAAATTCGCCTCGACAAAGCCACTCAGGAGGCAAAGCTGGCGTGTCGTCAAGCCCTCAATGTTCGTCGGGAGCATCTTGGGCTTGAGTTGCAAACGGCGTGGAGGAAACGAAGGTTGGCGGAGGCCTGGAAGCTGTGCAGGCGCATAGCGGGAGTCCACAAGGGGTCTCGCAGGAAGTGGGGCCGCACGCCTCTCACTGCTATGCCATCAACCCAACAATGGCAGAAACACCTCGCGCAAGATGCGCGTCAGGGTGGGTGGAGCGCAACAGCTGTCAGTCAGCGTTTACCCCGCCAAGGTATTGATGTGGCACACTGCCTGGTCACGCGAACACATCGCGAACATGCTGTCCGTGACTACAGAGATCTTTCGCGCTGTGTCAAACTTGGTGCGTTCCGAAAGAGTGTTCCTGATGGTGAAATCCCATTGGAAATCTGGCGGCTGGTCATATTTCCACAGGAGGTGAGAGATCAGCAGAGATTTGGAGTGGGTCACGAGCGGTCTTTTCCAACTCCCTTCACTGCTCAACGCTGGCTAAAACAACTTCTGGCGAGTATACGTTCTGCAGGACATGCGCCGTGTCAATTCCAGCTCAGTGCTGGTCATTGTGTGCATAAAGCTTGCAAGCCGCACGTAGGGGAAGATAACCTATGCAGTGATGTACGCATTGTACATGCTTTTGGGGCACTGGCCAAGCAGTACTACAGAATGTTGTGGCGCAGATCAGTAGTGCCGCACCTTCCCTCTCCCCCTGCCTTTGCATATGGTGGTGTTGTGGGCAAGCGCAGAGAAGAGGCTATTGCAGTGCAAAACATCATGGCGTTTCGACTTCGCACAAGTGGGGTTTCATCCGCGCTCAAGCTCTACGACGTGAAGAATGCTTTCCCCTCACCTGCGCATTCTAACATTCGAAGCATTTTCCAACAACTGCCTCCCTCTCAGGATGTATCAATTCTTTTACAGCACATCGTCAACCACCGGTGTGAACTCCAAGCATGTGATGGGTCAGTCTTATTGCAGCCTGGTTCTGGCATTCCGCAGGGAAGCACAATCGCCACTGAGTGTTTCAACTTGGTGTACTGGGGCGCAATCCGCCAATTCGAAGACCAGCTGATGCCGCACAATGAGCTTCTCACCACCAACATGGAGCATTGCCCGACGGCGATCTCGGTGGCCACTACCGTTTTCGTTGACGATCTCGCGTCTCGAGTCGCAGACAACAAACCAAGTGCTCTATTCCAAAAAGTAGAAGACTCTGCTGCCCGCTTGGATGGTGCGCTAGATCGGCTTTCAATGGTTCAGAATATATCCAAAGCTGAAGCCTTGCTTAACCTTCGAGGCCCAGGAGCTCACAAGCTTACTCGTGAAGCTTTTCTCTATGGTCAACTGGTGCCAGGCTGCAAGAAGGAAGCTCGCTACCTGGGGCCATTTTTGCATTGGGACTGTTCTTTTGCTCCTGAATGTCAACGACGCATTGACGCTGCTAGACGTGCATGGTACGATTTTCGTGGGTTCTGGTTCAAGCGGATTGATATGCGTTTCAAATTGTTGGTTTTCAGATGCGTGGTGGTTCAAACTCTCTTATCGGGATTGGTGGCTTGGTACGTCAACGACCACTTCATCAACAAGATGGACTCTTTCCTGGTGGGGTTGCTTCGCAAACTTCTCCAAGGACAAGCTTGTTCTAAACAGCAGCTAGAGGATGGAAACACCAGATACCGTTCACTAACCAATCAACAGGTTCACGTTCGGGCTCGCGTGGCCTCAGTTGGCATCGAGCTTGTAGTCGCACGGCTTCGATGGCTTCAAACCATGCTTGCGAAACCCCGCGAGCATCATCAAATGTTTGCTGCGATGTTTGGTCAGTTCCCTTTCGAGAAAACACTTTCGGACCATCCGTGGCTTGTACAACTACGGAGTGATCTCAGTGACCTCTCGCAGATCGAGGAGGCTGCATGGAAATCTAACAGTGTCAAAGACAACCCTGCACACCTACTGCATGACGCTGTGCTTCGTGAAGCATTTTGCGCTGTAGATGTTTCGGAGCTCAGGGCAAAGTCCATATCTGTTCAAATCCCGCCGCCTGGCTTCACCGACGGCACAACTCAGGGTCCCGCTGTTACACGTACCGAGTTTGCAGATGGGCATGTGTGTGAATTACTCCGTGTGGACGGCAGTATATGTGGCCAAAGATTCCAGACGCAAAAGGCTTTGTTTGCGCATCAAAGGTTTGCGCAGGATGGAGAACATGGCACCGAGGTACATGCAGCTACCCTTGTGGTCACCAACCAGTGTCCTTTCTGCTCATCGGCGTTCAGCAGTATCGCTTCTGCAAAAAATCATTTCAGAAGAGCTCTGTTTCATGGCCGTTGCATTGCTGATAGTGCTTTTTTGCCGGTTGAGGTCACACCGTGTTATGATGTGATTTGCCTCCTATGTGACTCCGCCTTCGCTGACCATTATGCTTATCATTGGCATGTTCGCAGTCATTTTCCGGATCTTCAGCATTCCATAGAACTTCTTGACACTTCTGGGCTCACCTTCCCTCCCCACATCGAAGTTAGCAATGAACCTCGGCCTAGAGCAAAATCAGGGCGAGCGGCCGTCCAAGGTTCGTGCAGTCGCGCGACAGGGCATGGAGGATGCGGAGACAAAAAAGCTGCTGTCAACACTGGCAAAGTTGTCATTGTCAAACGCAATGCAAATCAGGGCTCTTCGCAGCATCCTCTTGGAAGTGCACCAAGTTCCTGCAGCCAACCCGTACATCCAGGAGGCCATGCAAGCCACCAAAAAGTATGCGGAGGCAGCCAAGGAAATGAGTCCAAAGGACAAAGAGGAGCGCCTCGGTCTTCCTCACATCCATGTCTGGAACGCTCTGTTGGCGGTCGCAACACGCAACTTTGGAGCAACGTGCGAAAGAGCAAGATCCCTCCCACCAAGAGTCCCTCGCAGTCCTGTTGGAGTATGCCAGCAAGTACCAGGAACAGGGGTGGAAGGCCATCCACCACGAAGTGAAGTACGCGCGCGTCCAAAAAAACTTCAGACCAGAGCTCAAGCGGTTGGAGATCAATCTGATGGAAAACAGCCCGTCAGACAAAGTGTGGGCCATCATCAAAGCAGATCTTCGCCGAGATCAGGGAGTGCGGGAGTTGCCGGGGGTGGCACCGGCAGGGGATCTCGAACGCCAGCTTCAAAAGTTTCTGGATGATGCCAGTGGAAGTGCTAAGTGACCATTGCAGAATGTTTGTATAGACTGTCACGTTTGCGAAGCGGCAGGCGTGCCTTGTGCTGGCGCTGTATGGCTCTCCATGCGTAGCGTTCAGCTGTTAGGTCAGTGGGCCGTAGCCCGCGCTGTAGCGCGAATCACGGCTTCTGGCTGTTCTCTGAGGGGTTTTTTGTTTGTTAGGCTTGACTCGTCTGACCTTTCCCTCCGCAGAGCGTGTGTGTGTGTGTGTGTGTGTGTGTGTGTGTGTGTGTGTGTGTGTGTGTGTGTGTGTGTGTGTGTGGTGGAACTGTGAAACCCACCTGAGCCGCAAGCGCTTTCAGCCTCCAGAATCCCTGAAATTGCGAGGCTCCCGAACCCACCGCTGCGGAGGCCCGGACCCTGGTGGCATTTCGGTTTGCTTGCAGTCTTTCGGAGTTTCGGTGGCATGGCCCTGTCGACTCGACGGCATTCATTTATGATTCGCACAGTCTGCTGTTGTTGTTGCTGCACTGAATTGCACTGTGTACTGTCTTATGTACTTGACCACCTGAAGATGATCAGAAGGCAAGCGTCGCTCTGCAGTGCCATTTAGCATTCTCCTTGCAGCGGCCAGCGGCTTCTTCCAAAGCAATGTGTTTGCTGGCTGTGGTGATTGGGCTGTCTTGCGCAACGAAGGCTTCATGCATAGGGTGCCTTGACTCATTGACGGTCGAGCCTGGCAGGAAGCATGATGCCAGCGATCGTGTACAGGAAGTCATTCCTCCAAGTCCATCGTGAGGACCCTTCCTTCGGCTTTTGCTTTCAAGCACTTGCCCTGTTGAGACCTGCTAACTGTGTGCGGCATCGGCTCCCTACCATTGGACTTTCCACCCTTGAAAAAATGTTTTTTGAAGCTACTTAGTACCAGTCAGTTGGTTAGAAGCGGAGGTTTCCTTCTTCGGAATTGAAACTTGAACTGCCAAAGCGACACGCCCAGCTAATGGCTGGATGGTGCCAAGGAAAGATACAACCCATGATGGGAGCATTGTGTTTTCAACTGGGTCAGCCCTGGCTTTCTCTTGCAAACTTGCGCTACAGAACATCGTGCCAGCAGCCTTGCGTTTTCAAATGGGGGGGGGGGGGGGGGGGGGGGGGGGGATTGTCGGCGGACTGCCATGAAAGAAGGAAGCAATGCAGCATAGAACGATCCGATAGATATAGGAAAAGTGTCTTTGCCAACAATGACAGGGAAGATGGCGGCGGGGCGCCGCAAGTCCCAACCCCTCCCCCGCTTTTCTAAAGCCGCGCCAACCTGTCTGCTCAATTCAGACACTCCGATAGAAAGTTGATGATGTCAACACCCACGAATACGAACGACCAGTTCAATTCCTCGGAGCAGCAATACACAACATGCAAAAATGACATTACAAACATCAATATTGACCCACCTCCCCCGCCCCGGCGCCCCCGCCTAAAAGACCGCGCAAGCTGGCTGTAAAGAACATCATGTCATCACGAGGAGCCTCGAAGAGCATCCATATCCTTAGTTCTATATGAGCAATGTATTTGCCAGCGGGTGCACCCTCTTCCAAACCCAGCATCCGAGCATGTCCTCACATGATTCGCAAGAAACGAAAGTTGCAGGACAGAGCGACGGGAGGTTCATCAAGACAGAACAAGAGATTCACGAGTACGAGCATTGTGTTTGCAAGGGGCCGGGGGGTCGTTTCAAATCCTGTGAACCTTTGTTGCTCCATTAAAACGCTCCGATAGAACAATTGAAGGTGTCAAACGCTTATGCAATTACTGGGGAAATCCCGATACACAGCGCACACACACACACGCACAAGAAAGAAAATAAATTGTTGTCATCAGTTTTCAAGCGAGAGGAACAATGGCTTCCCCACAAAAAGTGTATAGAGGTCACCTCCCCCCCCCAACGGAGAAAAGGGGAGCAAAAGCGCACTCCATCCAGGTCAAGCAAGCCCAGAAAAAGCTGAGAAATCCTGATTTCTGTGAGGACCGTGTAGGTGCACCTGGGAATCGCCGTGCGGCCAGTGTGCCAGCTCGCTCACCTCAGGTGGGATCCGGAGTGCTAGATAGTTGACAAGGCTTCTTCAGTGGAGAGTACTGCTTCTTGCATGTCTGAGCTGTCCGAGCTGCAAGCGATTCCCTTCCAGGATGTTTTCCAGGAGGAGAAGTGCCAGGACCATTGCGACAAGTACCTTTCACACGTGTCTTGGACTAGATACACACTGCGTACTCACACGGCTTTGCGCCACGACCGAAAAATCCCAGAAGCGGAGCATTTTTGGGTCGCAGAGCTCAATGCACCCCTGTGTCTCTGACAGGTGCAAACGCTGCAAATCGTACTGTGTCGACCCTTTTGCACTTCCATCATCGCAATGAGCTGAGGTGGTTGAATCGCTTGGGGCGTTGTGGGCTCAGGGCATCCGCCCAGCCACGTGGAATGCCCCCCTGCCAGTCAACGTGCCCCAGATAGAGGCGTGGTTCCTCAAGTGGCCTTTAGCAGGCCTGCGTGACCAGCAGCCCGAACTGGCAACATGAAGCCGTGAGGCCAATGATCTTCCAGCCCCGGCTGCTGATGAGGAGGGACAGCATGAAGCTCACCAGACTCCGGATCCAGCTCCGGGGCGCATGCAGCATGAGGCACGGAGCACGGCACAGGCTAACCTGGCCTTGGTCGAAGAGTGCTAGTCGTGTGTTGAAGTGCATGCTGCAGAAGAGCTAAGCTACTGAGCTAAGTTGGCAGAATTTTGTTTCACGTGCAAACACGATGGTTCGAGGACGACGCTGTTACCATGACCGATGAAGAGACACTGTTCGTCCCACCTCGCCTCAGCGAGGACAGCTTCCGAAGCTGGCCATGCCTCGTGGTTTTCGGCGGACACATTTTGTGGGGGACCACACGAGTCCAGTGACCTTTTACCTCGAGAGGTCTCAGAGGTGTAAGGTGCAGGTGGGTGAGGGGGACACTTGCAACGCTTGCAGAGCACAGCTAGTTTCAGGGCCAGCTGCTGTTACTCACGTCTCGGATGCTCCCGAAATGCATGAGAGAGGATATGTTCGCATGGATATCGGTCAGTGCAGCTGTGTTGCTCCATTTCTTGCGGTCCTCTACAGACTTGATCAGGACGAGCTTCTTGGGATGCCAACGGCCAACCAGCTTCTTGCAGGCCAACTGGGACTTCCCGAGTTCTCGTCGGAAACGCGTTTTCTTCTCCGCGTGGAGCCTTGCACTCTTGCACGCATTCAGCGCTACGAAGTCCGGTTCTGTGAGTTTCTCTTTCCTCTTTTGGCTTTTGATGATGTAGACGTTGCGCTGTGTGACGTTCTGGTGCCAATGAGGCCTATACTGTAGCTTTTGTAGCAAGAGCTCTCCACGCCTGCTGAGCTTCGGAGGCAACCATTCACACCCCATGCGTCTTCCACCAAGGCAACGCCTGAACAGCGATGCCGGGGCAGGCTCCAAATGCGACCACAAGGCGAAGCTGCATTGCGTTTTGCACCATCGGTGGTCTGGCGAATCTTGGAGCGCTTGCTCTACGATTGCCGCCCGAGTGCACTGCGAGATAGCATCGTCACGGCACCAAACGTCGATCGCACTTTGTGCTTGCAAAGCCATCATTCGATTGAGGTCGCAGTTGACGGCTCCTTTTTGAAACCACACACTCACAAGCGTAAGAAGCTCAGACACGGAGCCACTCCGACACTCACATTTCGTGACTTGGTTGGGCTTTGGCCTCTGAAGGCCACTGTGGAACTTAAAGAGCTCATGTCCTTGAAGTCCCCACAGTCTTTTCCCAGCTTCGTGAGGAGTGGAACTTAATTCAGCTCATGGTCAAGTCTGCCTCCCTCCCACCATCTCCCACCCTTGGACTTCCTCATGCCCACTTGGGGCCAAGAATCCTTTCCCTTCGGAAACTTGCGCGCCTCCCGAGCGGCTGCGATCGACGTCCATGCTCTTAGTGCGTGGATTCGCCAGGGCGTGCATGCCTGCACGATGACTGACTACGTCCATTTTGCCAGCGCGTTAATTCAGCATCCTGCGCAAAGATATTTTTCACGCTAAACATGCCAAAATGGCTGCGCGCCGAGTGGGAAACGAGCTTGGGAACCAGTGCGCAGTCAGGTTTATAGGGCTTAAGATGTCAGATAAAGAGTTCAGATAGAAGGTTAAGTGACTTGGGTTTAGCTTTGGGCTTAGGGACATTCAAAGGATGCTGTCAAAACCAGTCCACGCCCCAAGCTCTACTTTAGCCGTGCGCTGCAACGTAAACGTGCTGCACCTGTCAAGACAAAGAAAGCACCCTCAAGAAGTCTGTAGCCACACCCGCGCTTTGGCCAGAGCGTGACTTCTGCCGAATGCAAGGAGACCTCTATGCAAACCGTTCCAGAGGTAAAATGGTACACCCAGCCACTCAGTCGTGAACTTCAACACGCTTAACACTTAGACGCTCAAACGCTCAGACAGCCAGATACTCAGACACTCGGATACCCACAAGTGATGAAATGACTAAGTGATTGGGTCTGGCCCGTGAAGGCTGAGAATTTAAGTGACTGAGTGACTCTGGCCTTCCAGGGTCAGACCTATGAGTTTATGTGAGTAGAAGCATTACAATGTATAAACCCCTGCCTTGCGGCAAAGAAGCGTCGGGCTTTGGCATGGACAGTTGTCAAATTAGAGATTAGGTGGCACCAGCACATCGTTTGTTAGCAGTGAATCTGAATCGCCAGTGCGGGTACGACGCCACATTTTCGGATGGGCCATAAGGTTCAACACACCTCGAAGCAAACGCATCAAGCGGATCCTACCGAGTAATGTCAGAAAATGCAACAATTCTCGCGGGCCACGTTAATCAGCGTTCAACATTGCGAAGCACCTCATCCAAGTGTTCAAAACGGTGCCCGACTCGGTCTTGGCTTCTGCCAAGCGCCCGTTGGAATCTGTTGCCAAGCATCGCATCAAAGTCCAGGGCATTCGTGCAAGCAGTTGCAAGCAGGGTCCGCCCCGGTTCACACTCTCTACTAAAGGACAAGAAGGCCCCCCTGCAAACGGTACTCGCCGTGGTATAGAATATGTGGTGGGTTTGGATGGCATGTCTGGTCGAGGCCGCTCCTCCCGCCGAAGCCCAAAAGGCTTTTGAGGTGGAGGCGCCCTGCTACTGGAGAGCCGGGTTTCTGGTTGTGGTACTGAAAAGTACTGGAGCGAACATCTCCCAAAACATGCAAGACAGCCCAACATGTCAACCTGACAGGCCCCCCTTGCCAACATGCCCGTGTTTGCGCTACGGGGCGACTGGCCTTGATGTGGGGCGAAACTGGGGCATTCTGGCGGGGCAAGGTCATTTTAAGAGCAACGCTTGCTGCACAAGATATCAGCTCTGCTCATCTGAGGTGGAGACCTCTTTACTTCTGCATTCAGTCCTGAGATAGCTTCCGGTTTGTGATGGGAACTGCACGAGCTGCGCCGAAGCGGACTGCAGGCCTCGTGCATTCCTTCTTTCACTCTCTCACCCCAACGCGGCACGCGGGTAACTAGCGGCTACTAGCGCATACAAGTGGCAGGTCAAGCATGGCAGGCTGGTGAGCTCGTGTTATACATGTCATTACAAACTTGCAATCGGAGCAAATTACGGCACAGACTATGCAAGTGTAGCTTTCAATCCTGCCTTCGATTCCAGCCACTAAGTTTCATGTGGCAGGTGAAGCATGGCAGGTCAAGCATGTTGCGCGGCGTCCTGCGCCGTCTTGTGAAATGTCAGCTAATTATGGACAGACCATTCTAAACGCTGCCAGAGCAGCTTTGAATCTTGCCCCGGGCTTTGTCGGGCCTTACCAGTATATTCATATATACATATACACATATACACATATACACATATATACATCTATGCATATATGCATATATATACATATATATATATGTATATATGTATATATGTATATATGTATATATGTATATGTGTACATATACACATATACACATATACACATATATACATACGTACATATATACAGATATACAGACATACACATATACAGATATACATATATACATATATACATGTATATATACATATATACACATATACACATATACGCATATATACATATATACATATATACATATATACATATATACATATATACATATATACATATGAGAGAGGGACCTTTATGTACTATGTTGCTACCTCTTTTTCTATATGTATAGAGAACATATGGAAGAATTAAATGATTTAAATTATTTAAATTATTTTTGAGGCCCGTGAATTTAAAAAAATTAATTCGAGATTTAAATTATTTAAATTCGCGGGCCCGGAAACTAATTTAACTAATTTAAATACCGAATTAAATTATTTAAATTCACGGGCCTCGAAACTAATTTAAATAATTCAAATCAGGATTTAAATTATTTAAATTATTTAAATTATTGAAATTATTTAAATTATTTAAACTATTTAAATTATCTAAATGGTCTGGGTTCAGAGAAATCCTCGATCTATTTGAAATATTTAGACTATTTAAATTATTTAAATTCACGGGCTCGGAAAAGAATTTAAATAATTTAAATCCGGATTTGAATTATTTAAATTAGTTACGAGGCCCGTGAATTTAAATAATTCAATTCGGGATTTAAATTATTTAAATTAGTTTCCGGGCCCGCGAATTTAAATAATTTAAAGAATTTAAATAGATCCAGATTTTCTCCGAGCCCAGACCATTTAACTAATTTAAATAATTTAAATAATTTAAATAATTTAAATCGGGATTTGAATTATTTAAATTAGTTTCGAGGCCCGTGAATTTAAATAATTTTATTCGGGATTTAAATTATTTACATTCGCGGGCCCGGAAACTAATTTAACTAATTTAAATACCGAATTAAATTATTTAATTCACGGGCCTCGAAACTAATTTAAATAATTCAAATCAGGATTTAAATTATTTAAATTATTTAAATTTTTTTAAATTATCTAAATGGTCTGGGTTCAGAGAAATCCTCGATCTATTTGAAATATTTAGACTATTTAAATTATTTAAATTCACGGGCTCCGAAAAGAATTTAAATAATTTAAATCGGGATTTGAATTATTTAAATTAGTTACGAGGCCCGTGAATTTAAATAATTCAATTCGGGATTTAAATTATTTAAATTAGTTTCCGGGCCCGCGAATTCAAATAATTTAAAGAATTTAAATAGATCCAGATTTTCTCCGAGCCCAGACCATTTAACTAATTTAAATAATGTAAATAATTTAAATAATTTAAATCGGGATTTGAATTATTTAAATTAGTTACGAGGCCCGTGAATTTAAATAATTTCATTCGGGATTTAAATTATTTAAATTCGCAGGCCCGGAAACTAATTTATCTAATTTAAATACCGAATTAAATTATTTATATTCACGGGCCTCGAAACTAATTTAAATAATTCAAATCCGGGTTTAAATTATTTAAATTATTTAAATTAGTTAAATGGTCTGGGCTCGGAGAAAATCTGGATCTATTTAAATTCTTTAAATTATCTAAATTATTTAAATTCACTGGCTCGGAAAAGAATTTAAATAATTTAAATCAGGATTTGAATTATTTAAATTAGTTTCGAGGCCCGTGAATTTAAATAATTTAATTCGGGATTTAAATTATTTAAATTCGCGGGCCCGGAAACTAATTTAACTAATTTAAATACCGAATTAAATTATTTAAATTCACGGGCCTCGAAACTAATTTAAATAATTCAAATCCGGATTTAAATTATTTAAATTATTTAAATTATTTAAATTATTTAAATTATTTAAATTATTTAAAGTATTTAAATTAGTTAAATGGTCTGGGCTCGGAGAAAATCTGGATCTATTTAAAGTCTTTAAATTATTTAAATTATTTAAATTCACGGGCTCGGAAAAGAATTTAAATAATTCAAATCGGGATTTGAATCATTTAAATTAGTTTCGAGGCCCGTGAATTCAAATAATTTAATTCGGGATTTAAATTATTTAAATTCACGGTCCCGGAAACTAATTTAACTAATTTAAATACCGAATTAAATTATTTAAATTCACGGGCCTCGAAACTAATTTAAATAATTCAAATCCGGATTTAAATTATTTAAATTACTAAATTAGTTAAATGGTCTGGGCTCGGAGAAAATCTGGATCTATTTAAATTCTTTAAATTATTTAGATTACTTAAATTCACGGGCTGGGAAAAGAATTTAGATAATTTAAATCGGGATTTGATTTATTAAAATTAGTTTCGAGGCCCGTGAATGAAATCATTTAATTCGGGATTTACATTAATTAAATTAGTTTCGAAGTGCGTGAATTTAAATAATTTAAATAATTTAAATAGGTCCAGATTTTCTCCAAGCAGAAACCATTTAAATAATTTAAATAATTTAACAAATTTAACTAATTTAAATACTTTAAATATTTTAAATA